GTGGGAACAACCCAGCACACAATGTCATATTGTCACAACGTTGTAACAACCTTATTCTGTGGATTCCCATTTACGTTGTGACAACGTGGCCTGACGTTGTGATGCGTCATTTGTACGTCAAAACAAGGTTACGTTATTTGATGCTAACGTATTTTACGTTGTCTTAACGTTCTATTTAATGTTAAAAGCTGAATAGTTTTCCCAGTAATGAACAGTACATAAGAAACAAAGCAGACATTCACTTCAATGTTTATTCGTCAGTTTGCATGTTGTTTCGGTCGTTTTTTCTGGTCGTGTGTTTTCTTTTACAGAAGCTGTAGCAATTCACTTTTACAATGTTTCAAGTTTTCAGAAACGTTGCATAACGCTGTAATGTTGTTTCGGTCGTGTGTTTTCTGAAGCTGTAGCTGAATAGTGAAGAAAGAATCTCAAAGTGAAACGTTTTACAGCAAACTCTATTGTGACACCAAGTTATAAGAAACGTTGTTATAACGCTGTAATGTTGTTTCGGTCGTGTGTTTTCTGAAGCTGTAGCTGAATAGTGAAGAAAGAATCTCAAAGTGAAACGTTTTACAGAAAACTCTATCGTGACACCAAGTTATAAGAAACGTTGTTATAACGCTGTAATGTTGTTTCGGTCGTGTGTTTTCTGAAGCTGTAGCTGAATAGTGAAGAAAGAATCTCAAAGTGAAACGTTTTACAGAAAACTCTATCGTGACACCAAGTTATAAGAAACGTTGTTATAACGCTGTAATGTTGTTTCGGTCGTGTGTTTTCTGAAGCTGTAGCTGAATAGTGAAGAAAGTATCTCAAAGTGAAACGTTTTACAGAAAATTCTATCGTGACACCAAGTTATAAGAAACGTTGTTATAACGCTGTAATGTTGTTTCGGTCGTGTGTTTTCTGAAGCTGTAGCTGAATAGTGAAGAAAGAATCTCAAAGTGAAACGTTTTACAGAAAACTCTATCGTGACACCAAGTTATAAGAAACGTTGTTATAACGCTGTAGTGTTGTTTCGGTCGTGTGTTTTCTGAAGCTGTAGCTGAATAGTGAAGAAAGTATCTCAAAGTGAAACGTTTTACAGAAAATTCTATCGTGACACCAAGTTATAAGAAACGTTGTTATAACGCTGTAATGTTGTTTCGGTCGTGTGTTTTCTGAAGCTGTAGCTGAATAGTGAAGAAAGAACCTCAAAGTGAAACGTTTTACAGAAAACTCTATCGTGACACCAAGTTATAAGAAACGTTGTTATAACGCTGTAAGGAGCCCAAAGCATGACGTTAGCTCAGCGTTTGCAGCGTTGTGACATGACGTTACCAGTGTACAATAGTTGGTTGGTGTTTAACGCCCCACTCAGCAATATTCCAGCTACGAGGGGCGTCCCAAAAGTAGTCCGCCTCACCTAGAAAATTATACAAATGCAGCTGTTTTTATGTGTTATTTTCCTACTTATTATCTGTCAACCTCAAGCAAAATGGTTTTGCCATGTTCCAGGCTCACGGTCCCCATTTTCTTTTACTCTTTATCTTGGTACCCCCTAACACGCAAAATCTGCAATAAATGCATCACAAACTTCAGGAAACAAAATATGCTAGAAAGATTTTGTGTGTTTGAGAGAGGCAGAAGTCCTCTAGAATCAAACGTAGATATTAAAGTGCATAAAAATGCAATTTGACACTACAATCGCTTGTTAAAGTGACTTCCCCCTTCATATTGACTGAAAGAGCTTGTTTTGGAGACACTACCCAACCCCTTTCAGATGACGTAATCATAAGGACATAACTTATTCTAATGTTTTCACTTATTCATACACCACGCCAAGGGTTCAAACTAAATACTGAATGGTCACACAAGTGTAAGCACTCAATATATTGTAAACAGTGCCAGCTTGAATATCTAGACACAATGTTTTTGAAAGATTAAAATGGGGGTGTCCTTTAAAAACAGCCCCGTATAAATACAAGTCAAGCAATCCAAATCTTTGACTGTTGATTATGATGGGAAGTTATCCAATACTATACTAAACATATTTTATATGATATTATTTGAGGGCATACCTTATCCAAGACGTAGAAAATAACAGATCGTTTTCACTTTCTGGAATTTTTAATGAAATATTATACCCCAATGTGTTGTGATGACTAATATCTTGTTAACCACATTACCCACACATGTGAAATTTTGGATATGGCTTTGCTAATGATTCCTTCAAAATAAAATGGAAGCTTTTCTAACATTGGACATCGAGAATATAGTTAGGCCGACTTCTTTTGGGACGCCCCTCGTATATGGCGGTGGTCTGTAGATCTCTCAGAGAGTTCGGGTTCGAATCCGGATTACGACTTACTCAAGTGAGTGAGTGAGTATGATTTTACGCCGCTTTTAGCAATATTCCGGCAATATCACGGCGGGGGACACCAGAAGAGGGCTTCACACATTGTACCGGTGTAGGGAATCGAACCCGGGTCTTCGGCGTGACGAGCGAACGCTTTAACCACTAGACTACCCCACCGGGACTTACTCAACCCAAAAATTACTAGAAATCTGGGATTACTGATAAAGCGTAATCCCAAATATCATATGTAATATAACACATAACTACTCACGGTTGTTGAATGTGTTTATAGTCCTCTAACAAACTTCAGATTATCGATCATTTCCAATCAGATTATCGACACTACCGCCACATCATCTTCAGCCCCGCTTGACCACATGACCAAATGTTTGAATTAGCATAAATGTGTTTGTATGTGATGTTTGCGTCTGAACTGCTTCCAACTTGATAAAGTGTAAAGCGTTGGGGGTAAGCTCGTTGATCGTGAGAACAGAAATATACATGACCGCTTCTATTGTTTTTCGACAGGTGTCAAATACGAGAAAGGCAGGTGTACAATGGTTCTCGTTTATCACAATGATTGCATTTTAAAGCTATCGTGAGACCAATGGTGGAATATTCAATATTTCATAGCAGTCAATAGGTGTGTGTTTCATTTTGTAATTAAATTCTGTAATGGTATTTTGAGGCACATATTATAGGTTGTAGCATTGTGATAAGCGGTATACGCCGTATACTCATAATGTTACAATGAATTTATCTTACGGAATGTTTAAAGCTCTTATTATGTAAAGAGAACAATCAAACAAACTGAAATTCAATCATATCTTTAACATTGTACTGACTAGTCGATATGAACCATTTGTTCACGGTTCACTGACTGCCGCGGATGCATGTTTATTCCATGGGGCGGGGTGATTTATTTTCACCCCAAAAGTTTATCCCCCCGCTTGGGCTTTTCTCTCTCTTGTTTCAGCTCTTTTATTTTGTAATTTAGTTACTTTCTACGATTATGATTACTTTTCTCTCCCTCCAATATTGAATGAACAAAAGATGGAAAATTGAAATTCGCAACAAAATCGCTATCAGTTGGGTTTTTTTTAATTTACTTGTCCATATTAAAGGCCCAGCGCTTGGCAAGGTAACACAAGTTGTCTTGTCACAACTCTGGTAACGAAACGGCTGGGAACGGCCTTTCTCCCTGCGGCAAACGCTCTATCCACTACTTCAGGAGGCTGCCATGCCATTTGAATAGAATTTAAGATATATCACAGTGTCGGTTGGATTTACGAGGAAGCACAGTTGATGCAGGTTTTAGACATGTACCACCTTGGAGAACCCACAGGTATGGTGTTGACAGAACAAGAGTGAGTGAGTGAGTTGAGGTTTACGCCGCACCCGAAATCCAACAATATTACGGCGTAGGACACCAGAAATGGGCTTCACACATTGTAGCCATGTGGGGAATCGAACTCGGGTTTTCGGCGTGACGAGCGAACGCATTAACCACTAGGCTACCTCAACTTTCTTCTCCATATTCAGTTAGTGGGTACAATGGTTAAATAGCTGAGTGTTTTAAGCTACATTAAAGCTTAGAATATGTTTAAGGAGTGTTATGTTTAAGGAGTGTTATGTTTAAGGAGCGTTATTTAAAGTGTTATAGTCGCTCCACTGTCATGTCCCACATCAGTCATGAGTGAGTGAGGTTAGTTTTAGGCCGCTTTTAGCAACATTTCAGCAATATCTCGGAGAGCACACAAGAAATCGAACCGGTCTTTGGTTTTCAGCTCATCAGGAATTATTTAACGACTGAGCTACCCCACAAGTATGAGTGAGTGAGTGAGTATGGTTTTACGCCGCTTTTAGCAATATTCCAGCAATATCACGGCGGGGGACACCAGAAATGGGCATCACACAATGTGCCCATGTGGGGATTCGAACCCGGGTCTTCGGCGTGACGAGCCAACGCTTTAACCACTAAGCAAACCCCACAGCCCCCCACAAACATGAGGGTGGTGGGGTAGTCTAGTGGTGTGAAAGCATTCACTCGTCACGCTGAAGACCTGGCCCGATTCCCTCCATGGGTACAATGTGTGAAGCCCATTTTTGATGTCGTGTCGTGCTCAGTCGTGATATTGCTAAAAGGTGCCTCAAACTAAACTAAACTCACTCACTCATTAAGCATGAGGAAGTGTCACTCTCCCTATACCCAGGTCAGTACTGTTGTGTGTTTAACACTGCATTCATCATTACTCCATTGATGTGATGACATTATGTAAATACACAAGTTTGGACCAGACAATACAGTGATTTCTATAATGAACCAACATCGGGAACAATGACCCAAGTCACCAAGTCTAAGCACATATTCCTCCTCTACAAGCCCCACTGGTGACTGCCGACATGTTCTAACACAGCTGCTTCATTATAGGAAGGGGCGGTGGGGTAGCCTAGTGGTTAAAGTGTTCGCTTGTCACGCTGACCTAGGTTCCATTCCCCACATGGGTACAATGTGTGAAGCCCATTTCTGGTGTCCCCCACTGTGATATTGCTGGAATATTGCTAAAAGCAGCGTAAAACTAAACTCACTCCCTCATTATTAGGATCCAATGCACATGCATATTTCAATCCAAGACAATTCTTCCAAACAAAAAACAAAACACCATTGATAATAGACTGTTTATATAAGACAGTAACAGATCTATAATTGCACATACATACTTGGGCCTTTGGTTAAATATCAGTCTGTGAATATATTTCATCATGGAATGTACAAGTATCGACAGTTACATCAAGTTTACGCATCTGAAGTACATAACGCTAAGTACTGACATAAAAATAATCTACAACTGACACTAGTGGCAGCTAATGTATTCTAATATCACAGAAATGTAATTTCTAATTACACAATGTTGTTGCCATGAAAAAGGTCTTTACAAAAGCTTGACCCAGAATCTTGTATTCCATAATCAAATAATGAGGCTTTTCTGGGCACATGATCTTTCAGCATTAACAAACCAATTGATCGAAATCAGAGGTGTTAGATCACACAATATTTCAATTAATCAAAATATCGTTAAGATTTAAAAAGCTCATGTTGCTAACAAACATATGTTAGGCTCAGCAACGCATGTTCTATTTCCTTCAGCTAGTTCTCTTCAGGACCAGAGCCCCACAAAGATCCCACAACATACATAGATTGGGCATTGTGACGAAGGGTCATAAACTGTGATATGTATGAATTATCACCACATATAACACAGTGAGTGAAAGGAAGCCGGGCCCGTGCACCAAAGGTGCGAGTTGGGGGTGAGCGCTTGGTCGGCTCCGCCATTTTGTTTCATATGGGCTGACACAACTATCGAGGCCAAAAAGATCACACGCTAAGCTTCCGGAAGCCTTTAAACGTGTCGACTCAAATAAATCATGTTACTTACGAAATTGTAATACCTTACAATAAAAATCAGATTTTTTTCCAAAAGAATCAGACTTTTTTAAAGACAAATCGGAGAGCAGATTTTGTATTTGAAACTCGGAGTAACTCCGCAAAATTGTGTGGATAGCATCTCTGCCAGTCTCTTATATTCTGCATCTATTACTATATTTACTTGCGGGTGTAATATTTCAGGTGAGCCTTGTGATACAAGGAGTACAAAAAACATTCAATATACCCTTATCCAGTATTATAAGTTTAAACATTCTCTGTGATCGCCATAATCCTACTTTGAACATTCATCACAACCAGAACTTTCAACAAAATACATATATCATATTTACATAAGGCAACAGACATTGAAATATAGGATATCCAAATGAGTTATGTCTTGTGACATACTGTATCACACCACTGATAAAGCAATTTATCACAGGACATTAATCTGACTAACTGGGATAGACACAGCCAAAAGTCGGTTACTTCAAGACTTGAAACAGTTGAGAGGAACCGGTTAGGTCGTTATTATTTCTCGAAACAAACTTAAGTGTGAGTTTCGACTTAAGTTAGAGTTTTTACTCAAATTTGAGAAAATGCATTTCCCAGAATGAACTAAAATCGATATTAAACTCAAACATAGTAGACAATTTGAGTTTGGTGGATAGATTACTTAAGTTGTTTGGGCTTTTTCATTTAAAAAATGCAGTTGAGTTAAAAATTCATCTGTTTCAAATTGTCCAACTCAGTTTGAAATTTGAGTAAAAACTTAAGTTTGTTTCGAAAAATCGGGACCAGGTGGCAGACTACTTGGATATGACCAATGGTGTCAATCCCTGACAAATATCACAAAGAAATCATGAATAGACCCAGTTTTGACATCTTCTATCAGGGTTGTACATATTATCCGCCATCAAATTAAGGCCTTTTTAGGGTCTTTTCATGGCTCAGTCAATAAGTTTAGGAAACTATAGAAACACATATAACACATAAGTAGCTGAATACACACAAGGTTGGTCAAATGTGGGACCGACTGTCAGGGGGAGATAACTCTCAGCTACATCGCTTTAAGGGTAAAATGTCAACATTCAAGGCTTTTTCAAGCTTATGGGAACCCTGTCTATAGACAGAATAGAACTTACCATGATAAACATAGTTTGTTCCAGCTCATCTTTGGTGCACTTGGTCCTTTTCTCAGATACTACTATTTTTTCATAAAATCAGTTTGCATATGATACTATTTGCATATATAATCTGCCACTTTTACTGAAACTATGGAATATGTGCTGTGTTCCTAGAGCAAAATAGAGTGAGCATTTAGAAAGCTGGGCAGCCTTTTCATTACCTATCGATAAAAAGTTCAGATTTCAGGGATCCAGAGATTCAAACACCCTAAGACCTCAAGATCCCCCAACATACCCAAGTTCTGCTTCAACTGGAACACTGCTAACTGTTGACCAAAGACTTCTTTTCTCACTCTAAGGGACCGTTCATAATTTATGGCTAATGTGTGTGTGTGAGTGAGAGAGGAGATGAGAGAGAGAGAGATAATGAGATATGATGAGAGAGAGAGAGAGAGAGATTTTGTTCTGGGGAGGTATGGGGATCATCAATTTTGTGCATATAAATATAAAAAATTATGCTTAGAAAATATGGGAGGGGGAAGGGTCATTGATCTTGTACATGATATGCAGGGGGTCCACTTACATTGTACATAAATCTTAGGGAGGGTCAGTCACCTTGTACATGCTTCTCCATAAAAATCACCAAACATCCCTCCCCGCCATAAATTATGTACGGTCCCCAACAGTGGTACAAAAACTTGAAAAACACAATACTAAAAAGCTACAAAAGATATTATGCAGATATGTACTAAGAATCAAATATATCACAACTGCCACTAAAATCGGCTTTGAAAAACAACAGTGCTACACTGCTATGTGAATATGCATACAATTTGGTTATCAAAAGCATCTTGACTATACAATCCATTATATGCCACTGCAGGTATATGTAACTCATATGCATGTTTGTCAAACCTTGGCTACATTTTAATACATGTCCTCAGGTCTCATGTTATCAGCTTGATCTGGCTATAAACAGGCTTAACACTTGGCATGGAACGTCTCATTCATTACGTTCAGTATGACAAGTACTGTACATGCAGCATGTCCATGCCACTCATTAACTGAGCTATGTTTGGCACAGACAAACCTAAAATCATAATCAGGGAATGTGGAATATCAACCCGAGGTCATAGCTTAAGATTCCAGCTTAAGGCTAAGGGTACAACTCTGAAAGTTACATTACCATAGACAACAAATCATGAGCCACTTCAGATTAAGTGAACACATGACATTCACTTCTTTGGAAGTAATTTAGTCCAATGTTAAACAAATCTTGTAGCTTAGTCATAAATCTTAACACCAGCTCTGTCAAAATATTTGTATGATTTGTGGTGCAACGTTACAGAAGAAAAGTATTGTATCGAAATAGGAGGCACAAATACAATATATGGAAATACCACGTCTGTATCACAATACCTAGAATATATTACATTGCAAGTTATATTGTAAAACATGGGGAAAATAAACTGTCCAGGAACCAGTTTATGCAGATTCCTGGTATTTCCTGGTTGACTATTAATAGCAGAATCTGCAGTGCTCCAAAGCTTATGTTTCCCTTACAATGTCTCATCTTCACTGTTTGAGATTTAATAAGAAATGATCCTGCAGAAAAGGGAGATAATCTGAAAATTAACATGAATTTCGATAGAAAAGTACTAAGCAGAGATACGAATCGTAACCCATCCATATTATCAGAATACTTATCATATCACGTGATTGGTACATCTCTGCAGCACATGGGCAGACTATTGGCCAGGAGAAACTCAAAATAGATACGTGACCAATGTCGTAGATGTAAACAGCATGGGAAAAAGTTTGGGAAGTTTTTCATTCCTGTATTTTTTCCTATTATGGATACAATGACCACTGGCAGAAAGATGTTGAACAATGCCATTCATTTGTATTTCTAGTCACTGTTACATAGGAACATTCGGTCACAAAGAAAAACAAAATTGAAATATTTAAAACAAAGAATATAAAATCATGTCACCTCATGATGTGATGTGCTTCAAACAAAAACAAGAGTTCAGTTCCCAAAAGTTTAAGTCCAAATGTCTAAAACTGATAAAGCTGCTTTTCAACATTTCATCTAAAATGGTTTTAAAACCTAACACGGCCATTAAAGCTAACCGGCTTCTATGACTAGAATGATGATATATTTATCCTGAACCCTAAAACACTGAAGCTTGAAAGAAAGATCTGATTTATCACAGTTACTAGCAATGAATATCAAACTTGTCTGGGTATATGAACCTATAGTGTGCCACCCTATTGCTCCTACTAGTGTTCAATCTCCTTTATCATCCAAACCTGTGTTTCACAGGAGATATTGCTTGTGTGAGATCAAATGATATCGCCTGGGAGATATCTTTTTGACAGTAGATTTTGTACAATGCCCTGACAATGCTATGATGCCATGAACTTGATGACATCACAATGCTATGACATCACTACAGTCTAATGGCAGCACCGTGTTCAGAGATGTACATTTTTCATTGAAAAATAATGAAGAGTGATTTGGATGATAAATAGAATCTCACCCTCGTGTCTTCTGATCTCAAATATATCAACACTCGTTGATTAAAGTTAAAATACCCTTGACAGGCCTTGGATGTTTGTAATGTTATCAACTTGGGTTGACATAATTGATATCAGAAGACACTTGGGCGAGATTCTCTATGTACTAGGATGTCTATAACAGCAGCAGGATTTTATATATACAACTTCCAACAATACAGTCACGATGACTTGCGAGTGATTTCCTTTGCTTTTTGAACACTATGTACATAAAGAAACCAGCAGAATGATGTACAATCAAATGACAGTTGTTTTCTATGTAGTTCAAGGGACTATTCCCATGTGCAGCCCAGTCAGAGAACTACACAGAACACCACATAAATCTCCATGATTTCAGGAATCTTTTTCAAGTTCATATAACATTTTTCCCATTCAGTACATTTCATGAAAAATGTTTGAAATATAATATTGCTGATAAATATACTTTAAGATCTTTGCAATATTAGAAAACCATTAACAGTATTTCAAAACAAAACCTGTTATTATCAATTCTTTTTGTACTAACACCGGCATTTACATATTCTAACAAACTTACTTTAGCACCAAGCATTGGAAAGCAGCCACAAGACATCAGTCAATCAGGGTGTGATTTTGTCAGTTGTTTGCAAAATATTTATTTATTTATTTACAGAGAAGAGCAATCGTTCCAGCAATCACTCCTACTTAAATAATGCCAAAAGCCCTCTTAGCTCCAATAAATGATGTAGTATGTGTGTCTGACTACAGAGACTTAGTCTGTCATGGTTAATATTGAGCAGTAATGGAAATACTAAGGCTGTGTCTTTTAATCCTCTTCTGCTATACTGTAGTTTCAATCTTAGGATGAAATCTTCCTTTCTCCATGATGTTGAAGTAACTGGAAATACACAGAAAACTTTGTTTATCATCATTCTAGAAGTTGGTGACTCAATAATGAAGCATACAACCTTACGGATAACAACTTCTTCTTTGATGCATAGAGTGACGTACCCGTGAAGATCCGGGTTAGAATTGATCTTCAGTAACCCATGCTTGTCGTAAGAGGTGACTAACGGGATCGGGTGGTCAGGCTCGCTGCCTTGGTTGACACATGTCATCGGTTCCCAGATGCATAGATCGTTGCTCATGCTGTTGATCACTGGATTGTCTGGTCCAGACTCGATTATTTACAGACCGCCACCATTGCTAAGTGTGGTGGAAAACTAACCTGACTCACTCACTCATACAGCAACATTTCGTTGTACCTTCTTTCAACATTTTCACGCTAAAAGTGAAACCAGTGTCAGAATCTACACTGAAACGTCGATCTATACAACACACAAGAATGTTTAATCCATAAAGTTGAATGCTTCATTAAGACAACTTTGTTCCATAAATGTTTACAAGAGAGTACTTGCCTGATAACTTGGGCTGGCTAACAATATAGTTAACAGAAATTGGTAATCTTTAACGGAATATGGAATATTGAATATCGGAGAAGATACCTCAAACAAAAATTACCCAAAATTCTGAAAGAAATCAACATATTTTACATCACTGGTGAGTGGTGACATGTTTAGGCTTGGACTACTAACAAAAAACACCTTCCTGAACATAACATAGAAGTAGCCCATGAATAAAGATCTATCCTTGTGCTGGATTCATCCCCGTGGTTCTTGTGATCGCAGATTACCCGCCCTTGATTTTCATTAACATTTAGTCATGCTGGTGATCACTGGATTGTCTGGTCCAGACTCAATTCTTTACAGGCCACCGCCATATAGATGGAATATTAATGAGTGCTGCGTAAAACTAAACTCACTCTCTCACTCCCATTAAGATTTACCAACCAATATTAGTAAAATCTAAATATTTTTTATATTTGTATACTTATCCTGCACTACTTACTTCCTGCACTTATTGCTTACGGCTCGAAAAGCCTGGCTTGCCAGACGATGTCAAAAAGACGTAGAACTGCAATCACTTCCTGGTCTCGGCTGCTTACTCGTCTGCGCATGCCTCACCGGAAGGTGACGTCAGCCACCTCAGATTATTGCTTAGAAATCCCACAGATGGCAAAACTAAGCGGGGAGGTAGCTGATAGCACAGGGTGGGCCCTTATCATAAGTAGTGCAGGATAAGTATACAAATATAAAAAATATTTAGATTTTACTAAATTTTAACTAATCCTGCACTACTTACTTCCTGCACTTTATCCGACAGGCTGGAAGGTGGGCGTGTCATCTGAGGGATGCTTACCAAACTGCGTAATAGCAGCCAGCTCAATCCGTAATCCCGTTAACCGAAGCGTTGATAACGCCGCCTATAACAGAGAGCCGGAATTAGCGAGGGGCGATCAAGTAGCGGTAATTGCAAATAAGACTGCGTCTTAAATGAAAAGAACCCACTAATTTTAAAGCTGGCGAAAGCTTAAGAATGCAGCAAAAAGCATGGACTTGAAAAACAAGGATAACTCCTTAACTGACATACCTAGTTGTTTGTGAAGAAAAACAACTCATTCCCCACATGGTGGTCCGTGGAAGGAAAACACAAGGCAGGAGGGTCACTTTCTTGGGGAATGGCGAGTTGCTGAGCAACCACCAATGGTCGAAGCTGTGGACATCATTAACGTCCTTGACAGCCATGTCCACGCCAAGTAATGACTGGCAAACACTGTGTCCGACCGCCAAAACAACCTTGCATAATGGATGACACAGTGCAATTACTGTGAAGTGCCATAGTCGAAGCAAGTGCTTTCGAATCTCGTGGGGATGAGAGGGCGTAGGAGGGTCCAGCCCAGCCGCTTTATATGCCTGAAGAATGGTTGTTCTTAACCATAAGGCAATAGTGTTTTTTTGCTGACATCTGACTGCGGCGCCGGGACAGTGGAAGAAATAAACGTTTCCTTGTACCACGAGCGCCTTTGGTGCGATCAATGTAAGTTTTGAGCGCCGCGAATCGGACATAACAGTAATTCCGCGATCGTCTTCAGAGCCAACAATAGATGATAATGGCGGGATGGAAAACTGGCGATCAGGTTGTCCTGGTAGTTGGTTTTAGCGATGAAATCCCAACACATACCTAAGTGCACAGAACCATGGCGACGGCGTTCAAACTTGATCCTAGTCACGTCAAAGGGCGTGAACCTCACTCACTCTAGCGCGGTATCGCTAATGACAACAGAAATGCCGTCTTCCTGGATAAATCAGCGAGGAAGCGTTATCAAGAGGTTCATACGATTGCACCGCGGAGATGGTCTAAAACAGTGTTGAGATTCCATGCTGGCGGATCGAAACTTCAACTTCTGGTCTTCAAGTCGGAATGAAGCCGAAGCATGGCCTGTAATTCTGGGATTTTGGAAATCCTTCTGTCAGTGGGAATCGCTAAAACAGAGCTAATTGCCGCCAAATGCGTGGCAATGGTGCCTCCCTTCAGGCGCCTGGACGTTCGGAGATAAAGTAAGAAATCTGCTATGAACTGAGGAGACACAGTCAGCGGATCCTGCTTCTTGGTAACACAAAAAGCGCTTCAAACGACTGCCACTTGTCGTCATACAAATGTCTAGTAGAAGTTCTGTGCGCCGTCGCGAATGGCTTTGGCTGCTCTAGCCGAAAAACCCTTAGCACTCAGTGCTTTCTGCAAATGGTCCATGCGTGCAGATTGAATCAGTCTGGAGCCGGATGCGGAAGATGGCTGTGAGGGTGCACTAGAACGTTCCTCCACGTGGGTAGAGGGAAGGGATCTCCTACCACTAGACTTTGTAGAGCGGAAACCAGTTCCTGGCTGGCCACCAAGGCGCGACCAAAATTAGTCGTAGCAAGTTGTCTCCTTGACTTTTCGCGAGAACTTTGGGTAATAGAACTGGTGGCGAGGAACGCATCTGCCGTGAAGTCCCTCCCATGATAGGCTGAGAGCATCCACCGCCTAAGCCGCTGGATCTGGGACTGGGGACACATACACTGGCAGTTGATGGTTTTGGCTGGTGGCAAACAGATCTATGTTTGGATAACCCAGTGCGTGACTTAAAAGAGTGAAGGCCTCCTTGTGTAGCATCCACTCCGTGGGAGCAACTCTGTCGGGTCTCGAGAGAGCGTCTGCTAGTATATTGCGGCACCCCGGAATATGCCGCACTCTCAACAGAATGTGGAGATCGTCGACCAGTTGAAAGAGCCGAAATGTCTGATCGAGGAGAAACTGTGAGTGTGTCGACCCTTGCCTTCGTATGTACCATACGACCGTGGTGTTGTCTGTAGCCACTAGAAGACAAGTTCCTCGTAGTCGATGTGCCCAATGATGAATAGCGAGGATCACGGCCTCCAACTCCAGACTGTTTATATGCCAGTTGATGTGTTGACCCGACAAGCTCCGATTTGTCCAAGTTGACCAGCCACCCTAGTTGGCGCAACAGACGAAGGGTGAAATCCCGTTGTTGTATAAGAAGTAGACGGTCTAACAGGTGCATAAGGCAATCGTCCAGGTACGGGTCGAAATTGATGCCCCTCAAATGTAGATACCGGGAAATAGGAGTTGTGATACGTGTGAACAACCACGGGGCCGTTGAAATTCCAAATGGGAGGACAGCCCATTGGAAATGTTGATTGTTGAAAATAAAGCGCAGGTACTTCCTGTCGCTGGGGCGTATTGGAACATGGAGGTATGCATCCTGTAGGTCCAGGCTGATAAGAAAGTCGTTGACGCATACCATAGATTTGAGGTATTCGAGGGACGTCATTCGGAAGTGCGGAGGACGTTCCAGGAAAGTCTCGTTGAAATAGGACAGATTGTGAATCATCCTCATTTTCGCGGACCCTTTCTTCGGCACTAAGAATATTGGAGAATAAAACCCTGGTGTTATGATGGGATACGGGAGGAGTTCGATGGCTCTTTTCTCCAACAAAATCGCTATGTTCTCCGCTAGAAGGTTGTGTTGAACCTGAGAGTGATTGTGCCGGAGCGGGAACATTGTCAGAGGTGGATCGGAGAGGAGGGGGAGCCGAAACCCCTGCCTCAATATATCGGTGACGTATGGATCCTCTAGGATGGGCGGGAGCACGGCGACGTTGATATCCACCCCTGTCTGATCTAGGCTTGGCACCACGTCCCCTGCCACGAGACGGCGCTGAGTTTCTGGCACGCCGAACAGACGGTCGCCGAGGCTGGTAGGTGTTGGATGACGTGGAGGCAGGACGTTGTCCCTTTTGAAACGCTTTCAAGGCAGTCTCCCCTTTGGCAAAATCACACACCTGCCGATAAACATCATGAATGGCATCGTTAAACAGTGACGACGATGACCAGGGTTGGTGGAATAATTTCCGCTGAAATTCCGAATCCCATGAAGAAAAGGAGAGGAAGCCTTGCCACTTAATTGCGCATGCGTTGGCAAGCCGACCTAAGGTGTTCCACGCCAGGTCAGTGATCACTTTACCCTGCCATAGCATCATAGTTGTAAGATGATCCAGTCGATCCGGTTATTTCCTTAAGATCCTGAGTGATGGCATCAGTCGCTGACGCCAATGCCGATATAGGGCGGAGCATACGCTTAAGCTCTAAGTCCAAAGCGCGACCCTTGTATCCTGAACTTTATAGGAGGACACAGAGGAAGAACCTGTCACACGCGTTTCATTTCCTCATCCACCTTAGTCACTGTCTGGGCAAAGTCCAAGCCATGAATAGGATAGTCATCACGGCGTACTCTAGGCTTTAATAGTTGGGTTGAGAGACATTCCCGCGAAATCTTCATCAAGGGTAGAGAATCTCTCTGACCGCCTCATGTGCTGGTAACATTAAGGAAGGCGAGTCCCAAATAGTAAGTGACTTTGCAACATCAGGGCCTGGTGAAGGGACTGAGGCTATTAAGCGATCAACAATCCAGTCAAACACGTGATCAAAGCCAAGGTGATTAGAGCCTGTGTCTTCCTCATAGTCTGGGGCAAAGTCCTCTCAGAGGGGCGGTGAGCGAAAACGGCAAAGGGGAGCGACTACGTGCAGACGGCGCCTTTAGCAGAAGGCGCCTTACGAGGTCTCTCGACCTATGTTAAGCCTGCCGAAGACGCGGGCGAACGGGGAGGCGTTAAGCGTGAGCACAGGAGCAGACAAAGTTGACAAGATAGGCACCGATGCTGGAGGGGCAGAAGCGCCGAAATCGTCCGGAGGTGGCAAAGGTGGCAAAGCTGGAGGCCGTAGGGGAGAGCCCGATGTAGCTGGTGGCATAAGCGGCATAGGCGCTGATGTACCGGCTTGACCTGATAGTAAAGTCAAGAGAGTGCTGGCGTGGATACATCAAACTGCTGGTGGCGATGGCGTTTGCATCATAGACGCCTGAGGCATTGGAAACCCGTATGTGGTTGATACGCGATAAAGCGTCTGCCCGGGAACACTGGCTGGGGTGTCTGATCACGGCGCAAACTGCTGGCCCATCGGTCGTTGTGGAGATGACATCGGCAACAGCGAGGAGGTGAGGGAGTGCCAAGCGCCCGAAGCCAGGCGCCACGCCGATCAAAGCGCCGACGAAGCTGCAAGCGCCCGCGCCAAACGCTGTAACACCCGCCACATAAGCGGCGAAGACATAATCTGAATGCTGGTGACAGGCGCATTACGTTGACACAGTTGACGCCGCAACACTTGGCGTAGACGTGAGTGGTGGTCGTCAAAGACCGGTGTCAAGTAGTAGACATACTCTTCCGTCTCTGTTGTCCCAGAAGCTTCTTAACAACCTGTAGATAAACGGAGAAACTCTTGGGTGATAGCACAGCGCGCAGCTGGCACATTTATGGCCAGAGGTACATTGAGTAGTACATTTCAAACATCGGGATGAGGGTCTTTACGAGACTTCCCACCCGACAATGTATACAACTGGCGCTGTACATAGATCTGCAATGAAGCAGAAAACCCAGTAAACGCACATACAAAGTAATGAATATAACAGCAAAGTTGAGAACAAAAGTCTCAAAATAACTGAAAGTTTAAGAGACCATAATACAGGCACAATAAATATACCACTATTATATGGTATAGTATATAAGCCTGAACCAAATGAAACACAACGATGTATCAAATACGACAAAGTGTTTTAATGGCGAAAGTGAAAGTGTGATGACGGGACCGTGTATAAGCGAACGACATCACTACACAGAACTACTGAATGACAAAAAGAAAGTGAAAGATAATACCTACACTTCTCGTAGAGGTACAAAAACAAAATACACACAAAGTCAGTCTTTATTAATGCTTCACAAAATATAATCCCGTAGGATACAAGTTGAGCTGGCAAACAACACGTCTAACGAGGCGTGCGAAAAGCAATAATCTGAGGTGGCTGACGTCACCTTCCGGTGACGCATGCGCAGACGAGTAAGCAGCCGAGACCAGGAAGTGATTGCAGTTCTACGTCTTTTTGACATCGTCTGGCAAGCCACGCTTTTCGAGCCGTAAGCAATAAGTGCAGGAAGTAAGTAGTGCAGGATTAGTTAAAAATTAACATTGACATGAGGGACAGGTAAAGGGAGGTAACCTGTATTACCACGTCACCAAAGCCACAGCCAGTTTTATGGAAGTGAAAACATCCTTTCCTTCCCAAAGATTTTAGAGGGCATTTTTGATTGTCAGTCATTTCTTCAGCATCAAATTTCCCAATCATAGTCAATGGGACTGGTTGCCATGTTGTTGTCAGCCAAATATTACAGCTTCCACAAAAAATGAGTTCTGACAACAGGTTGTCTTGATCACAAAGGCATTGTTTATTCATGCATTGTTCTATTCTCCATTTTTTCACTGGAACTTTCTTTCAAACAGATAAGTACTAGCAGTGATGCCTGCAGTCTTTTAAAATGGCCCACTGATTTCAACACGTTTGTGACCTCACTATTTCAACACTCCAGGTAAAGGGAGTCAAGTGATCATGCTCACTAAAGAATTTCAAGAACGGAACTTGCCTTTGATCATAGATACCTTGGGTTATTACGATGATTAATGTTGAGCATTGTTTCTGTTCAGACAAGTCACAGTGTATAATTGATATGGTAATTACCAAAGGGTTGTATATTGTTAATATTGTATCTCGCACCAGGTCAACAAAGAGTGCCAACTCAACCTTATTTGCTTGAAATTGCAGAAGTAATGACAACTGTGTATGTCCCACAATCCTGCAAGCCAATATGAATCCCTGTAACAGAACAATTGAAACGGGCACAAGTTGCCCAACCCTCCTGGACCAATGCCTTGACCCCGACAATTCCCCTTATTTCAGGGCTTGGTCTGTCCTGGGTGGGTGAGGCACACCTAATCCCCACGCTACTGAACTATCTATCTGCAGTGAATGTGCCCAGCTTACATCCCAAGAAGGCCCCCTGCTAGGCGGTCACCTGTCTATGACCTTGTCCAGCCAACGCCGGTGCTTGAGGTCCTGGATCCAGGTGGATGGGATGGCGTCCAGTCCCAGCTTACATCCCAAGAAGGCCCCTGCTAGAGAGGCATTAGCATCAGCATCACCACCCTGCAAACAACATCCAGTACAACAGGTTAACTCATCATGGATGGACAATGGGGTGGATGGACAATGGGGTGGATGGATGGATGGACATTCGGGTGGATGATGGATGGATGGATGGATAGATGATTGATTGGATGGATGAATGGATGGGTGGATAATTGGGTGAATGAATGGATGGATGGATGATTGAGTGGATGGCTGGAGGGATGGCTTAGCCTTAATCATCCAGTGAACAGGCTCCAAAATACAACAAATGACACTGAGAGGCTATTCTGCCCTTGAATATGCAAAGTCACACACACAAAGCACTACAGTCAACTTCCTCGACCTGCAAACAGTCTCACTGTAGACGCACCTCCATGACAATATCTCGTATAGCTGTGCGGAAGTCCTTCTGCTTGAGAGCCCAGAACCCTGCTCCAAGCGTCTTATAGGTGTGATTCATCTTGCCTCTTTCATCCAGCTTCAGGTCTTTAAGTGATGTTGTGTACAGGATCTTCTTGAACTCCTTAATCTGAACAAAACAGTTTCTCTTTTAACATGGTTAAATTTGATCAAATCACTGAAATTATTGCATTCATGTTGTAAAAAATACATTGCATGTGATTCCATGGGCTATTAAGCACATGTTTTTATGTTTATGTTTTCATAAAACAAAAAAAATAAAAGCAATGTGCATATCAGGTTTTGCATTTATACCGCAATAAATGGAACGAAAGATGAAGTCCAGTCTCAAATGCATTTGTTCAGTCAGTCATATTACTTATCAACCATTCAACCATTACAGATTTCATAAATATTATCAAAAAAATGAAGCAAACAACCTCTATTCTGTACAATGGATGAGCTTAAATCAAGTGCAATGTTTTACATTATAAAATAATTTTCAATATTTACCAAAGGAATATGTCTAAAAGAGCAGACCATTTGCACTGACCATGTGAGAATGAATCTGAAGATGACTCAAAGCTTACTCACATCAGAATAAGGCTGATTCAACATACATCGACAGCCATAGGAGAAGGCCTCCTCAATGATGGAATCAATATCATAGTCTCCCGTCTTCTTCAAGTGCTTCTCGTCTTTCTGCAGCAAGGCTGACATGACTGTTGCCACGGCAACACATGATGCTTGACAGCTGAAATGCATGGTTAAATACAGTTGGGGAATACGATGGCTTGTTCTCTGTGCGATAGATACATGTATCAATTAGTGTTTTCCCTTGGCATTTTTAGCAGGGCGCAGTGCACTGCTCATTTTATTTGGCACCCTTCCCTTTTTATTTGGCGTCCTGCTCTTCCTATAATACAATGATTGATATTAACACTTGGTTGTTTTCATTTTCTATTTCATGTTCACGTTAAATGTAAACCATTTCATAATTTCATCATTTTAATTTGATTTAACCATAACATAGCCATACTTAACAGTTTGGCATGACTCAGCAGAAAATGGGTACCCAGTAGGATAAGTCATGTGACTATTAACCTTCTAGTGCCTCATAGGCAGCTTGGCTTAATGGGGGTAATGATCTAGCGCTTCTGAGCAGTGCTACATTGGAAATAAGTGCAATACAATTGAATAACATCATAACATTATCCTATGAATTTATGTTGAAGGCTCCCTGTGCCCAATTTGTCAGTTTCATAGCAGAACACAGTAAGAGCCACATCTGAGTGAGTGAGCGAAGTTTCCGCTTTTACCAGTATTCCAGCAATATTATGACGGGGGACACCAGAAATGGGCGTCACACATTGTACCCATGTGGGTAAACCAGCCCAGGTCTTCGGCATAACAAGGGAACGCTTTTAACCACCAGACTACTCCACTGCCCCGAGCCTCATTTGGACCATGGATTTAACAGTTCTGAGCACAGTGAGTGAGTGAGTGAGTGAGTGAGTGAGTGAGTGAGTGAGTGAGTGAGTGAGTGAGTGAGTGAGTGAGTGAGTGAGTGAGTGAGTGAGTGAGTGAGTGAGTGAGTGGTAGTGAGTGAGAGTGAGTGAGTGAGTGAGTGTGAGTGAGTGAGTGAGTGAGTGAGTGAGTGAGTGAGTGAGTGAGTGAGTGAGTGAGTGAGTGAGTGAGTTTAGTTTTACGCTGCTTTTAGCAACATTCCAGCAATAACACGGCGGGGGACACCAGATATGGGTACCCATGTAGGGAATCGAACCTGGGTCTTCGGCGTGACGAGCGAACGCTTTAACCACTACGCTACCCCACCGCCCCTTTCTGAGCACAGGTTGCACATGTAACAAGACACTGAATGAGGGATGGAAGGAGGGAGAGAAGCCTTCAGGAATTTGGCATGAGTGAACACTTTAACTTAACCACTAATCTACCGACAACTCTACACTGTACCTGGGATCTGCGTGTGTGATGGAACATACATCCAGGGAGTTCTTGATCACTTTGCCCAGGACGTGGTAGTAATGTATTCCTGACATGGGGGCGCGGGCCAGGGCACAGTTAGTGGCTCTCAGACTGCGACAGTCCCGCCACACGATCTCAGCTGCCTGGAACACAAAAGTGATCAAAACATACATGATTAATTTCTTTTCACAAAGTGAGCTCCAGAAAGCATCATGAAGATATAATCAGGGATTTACCTCGAGTCCTGCATTTGAGGGTCCCAGGGACTCATATTCTTAATTTTTTAGGGGTCCTGGACTACAAAATGGGGGTCCCAGACACTTAAATAACAATATTAATACTATTATTGTATTGTGCACCATGATCATCACATTGTTACAGTAATTACATTGCAAATGATACCATAACCCAGCTAGTTGCAAACTCAGTGATAACATATCGTTACTTGATTGGAATTTTTACAAAAAGTATTTGGACTTTTTCTGCGTCCCATGGGACGCGCTAATAAGTTTTGTTGCGTCCATTGTCAATTTTTATGAGTATAGGACACAGGAATTCGTTCCTGTAAATCCCTGTATAATTGAAACTGGGCTATATTAATTGTTCCTTGAAACAAACAGCTGCTTCTTTGTTCAATGGATTACTGTTTGAGATTAGGTTCTTTTACCAATTCTGAATTTAAATGATCTCGACAAACAAAGAAAGACGGTTTTCCAAATTTTCATAATAATCCACTTTAAATCAAGTCATAAAGGCAGTATAGCTCATCGGGCAAGTTTTGTTCGTTTGTTGATTAACACTCCACTCAGCAATATTCCAGCTCTATGACAGGGGTCTGTAAATATTCCAATCTGGACCAGACAGTCCTGTGACTAACATCATAAGCATTGATCTACGCAATTGCCATTTGGGAAATAGCAGGAATCTGGCCTTCCAATCCTATTTGTCTTCTTTTGACAAGCACATGTTGCTGAAGACGTATCTCCGCCGGACAGTCAAGTCAGCTTAGCTCTTTATGAGTGAGTGAGTTTAGCAATATCTCAGCAATATCACGGTGGGGGACACCAGAAGTGGGCTTCAAACGTTGTAGTTGTACCCATGTGGGGAATCAAACCCGGGTCTTTGTCGTTACGAGCAAACGCTTTAACCACTAGGCTACCCAATTGCCCCTAGCTCCTTATGACTATAGTGTCATCATTTAGGCTAGTTTCATGTTTCACTCAGCAGTATTCCAGCTATATGATGGCAGTCTGTAAATAATCGGGTGAGGACCAGACAATCCAGTGATCAACAACATGAACTTCGATCTACATTATTGATGACATGTGTCAACTAAGTCATCAACCCTGACCACCCGATCCCGTGGTCGCCTCTTACAACTAGCAAGGTTTGCTGAAGACCCAGATCTTCACGCGTACTGATGGTAGTTTTAACATGCTCAATGCCTCAGTTCCACTACAAACTAAAAGTGAATAAAACTCATTAAAATGTAAATACAGTATTCATTAGAGATGGGTGGTTTTACCGGTTAACCGGTAAACCATGTTTTTTTCATGAGCCAGTATGTACCGCGGAAGGTCGCAGAAAACCGGGCTTTTTTCCGTTCAAATAAAACACTATTTTCTCTTCACAAAGATATTTGTTAGCAAAATTTGTGATCTCACTAGTTTTTCTTTATATGGTTTCTTTAAAATGCTCGAATGAAAAGTACTGGCAATGGCATTGATGATTAATAGATTTGTTATTAACTTGTTGTTCAGTTTTGAAATTTTCAATTTCATATGGAACTTTGTGAAGAATATCATCTCAATTTACTATTCCTTTCTGTGATCACTGATGAGTGATGACTAGTGATGAGTGATGACTGCACAAACTTGCACTCCTAGTAATTTAATACCTGAATAATGCTGAATTCAAGAATCTTATTGCTCAGCCGTGAATCTTGTAATATTTCTAGTCAATGTGTTTTTTGTGAAGTTATTTTGTGATATTGTCAAGTTATGTCAGCTTAATGTCGTTGACATATTGGAATTAGCAAGATTGTTTATTTTGTTCATAATGTTTGAGTTGTTGAACTTGACAGTGATCTCAGTTTTGAAGTTTTCAGATTTCATCTTCTTGTAAAAGTTTCCTATAGTTATGACATTACTTCATGGTCCAATTCAATCAAAATCGTTAAACAGGACAATAGGATTCATTAGTTAGTAGTTACTGCAGCACGGCATACCGTGGTACTTGAACAAAAACCTTGGTATACCGTGGTACTGAAATTTTCGTGGTACCCAACCCTAGTATTCATAACTGTCTTGTTACATTAAGACTGGCTACCAAGTTCTGAGGACCAATGAAATATGGCTTATACTAGTCCTCTGGACAGACAATTAGAACCTGAATTTCTAAGGTGACATCACTAACCCTCAATGCATCACATCTGTAAATAAACTGAAAAAATCTTAATGACAATGAATACACACTATATGTATTTGTCTTCTTTAGCAAGACTAGCAAAGACTTAGTAAAACAGTGAAACATGTTCTACACTTTCAGTAGTCCTCAAAAGAAAGTGAATTTCTCTGATCTTGACAGTAATGTCCCTACCTTGTTGGGCGCCTCAGAGAACTGAGGATGGTTGATCACATTCTTGGTGAAACTGCACAACCCAGGGCCACACACATCGCCCAGGTCAGGGAAGCCGCGCTCCAACCATTCCATTAACCGCTTGGCTATGTCCTCCGGCATCACCTGTATACAGTGATGCAAGAATATCCCACAAAGATGCATGAAAATGCATGTAAACATTTCGATCAAGTAACAATAAGTTATCACTGAGTCTGCTACTAGCTGGTAGTGTTTGGAATTGGTTGAAATCTCACAATTGATGATTGCTTCATTACCAACGCACAATCATCGAAAAAAATTGGTTAGCGTCATTTTTTCAGATTTTCCTATCCAGGTTTTTATTGCAAATAAGTATAACATGATGCAACTTGCTACTCTAAAGTGATCACTAATACATCATGAACATAAACTTCCAGGAGTCTTAGAGAAATATTCAGTCATGACTTTTCAGTAAGTGAAGTGAGTTTTCTAAGAATTAAACACGTCTTCAGGCCCTGACAACTTCTAAGATATGTTCCATTGTCAGGTATTTCAAAGACTAAAACAGTAGTTCCAAAATTGTTGATGTTTGATTATGAGAAAATGTGATCGATTGCTTGGTCGTTTGGCCACTGCGACCAATCTTTGATTATTTCAATTACTAACTGGGTTATGGTATTATTTGCAATTTAATTACTGTAACAATGTGATGATCATGATACGCAAAATACAGTAACAGAACGTGAATTACAACATTATTACAACATAGTATTAATGATAATATTTAAGTGTCTGCGACCCCAATTTTGTAGTCCAGGGCCCCGTTTCACAAAGCTCTCGTAAGCCTAAGATCTCGTAACTTTTCTCGTAGCATTCGTACCTCCTATGTCACAGTAAAGGAGGTACGAATGCTACGAGAAAAGATACGAGATCTTAGGCTTACGAGAGCTTTGTGAAACGGGGCCCAGGACCCCTGAAAATTAAGGGTGTCGTGTCGGGAAGGCTAAAATTTATTTTTCAGATGTCCCGGGAAGGGCTAAAATGTATATTTCGGATTTCCCGGGAGAGCTAATTTCTAAGGGAGTAGGGGAGTATCGCCAAAGCTAAATCCATGTCGGGGGTAGATAGATTTCTTTTCAAAACATTGTTATAGTATTCGATTCGTTATCTGTACACGGGTTAATAATATTTTTATAAATTCCACATTTCGATGAGTTGGACAGCGCACTAAAGTTAACTGAATAGCCTGATAATGTTTTCTTTGTTCTATAACGATTAGATTATCTAGTGGTAATTCACTTAATCCAATGTTTGACAAAATACCTTTAACCTGATACGCCCAATTTTTGACACCACGTGTCTCCACCTCCTCATACAAATACTCATAACAACCCCTTAAAATGCTATTTTCAGACACAAGAAGCTTACACCAATATTTAATCATGCTATATTGTCTTTTAAATACGAGCGGATAACGACCTACCTTGGCATAAACCATGGAATTACATGTTGACTTCTTAACTCCTAATAACCTTTTTACAAAACTTCAAATGCAACCTTTCAATATTTAAGCCATTATCATGTCCCCATATCTCAGACGCATGCGATAGTATACTGCCAACATAACAATCAAAGACAAATAAAAGAGATTCCAGGTTGAGAGAAAGCGACCTGATATTATTGTAAATTGAATAATCTGTAATTTGTCAGAGCCTCTGTGTGAGGCGCGCCATGTTCATTCAGCCATAACATTGCATTGCAAGTACCGCGAAGGCTATGCTCATTGAACCGAAAGGGGTCACGATTTTAGCCTTCTCGGTCATGAACCAAATTAAGAGTGTTAGTCCCAGGCATCCTCAAATACAGGACTCAAGGTAAATCCCTGCAATAACCACAAGCATAACACCTCAATTACACCAACACTATAGTCTGTTTGCAGTGAAAACGTACCGATGAATTTCACTTTAAATAAAAAATCTAAGATTTAATTTTTAAATTGGCATGGTAGAATTATGAGGATTCGCAATCTTAATTTCACTGTATTCGATTTACATTTTTGTTTAAAGTGAAATTGGCCGGTATGTCTTCACTGCAAACAGACTATACACATTGTCTGTTTCCACTTTGACATCACACAATTTCACTTGAAATAAATAAAATGCAAGAGATTCCATGCCATTAATTGGCTAACCAATCAATTCTTCCTTAAAGTAAAAAAAAAAAAGGCCAGGCACTTGACTGTAATAGTGTTTTTGTAATTGGTTGACAATAGAATGGGGGCTGGTGATACTATATTCCAATGTACCTGGGTTCGAATCCCCACATGGGTACAATGTGTGAAGCCCATTTCTGGTGTCCCCCGCCGTGATGTTGCTGGAATATTGCTAAAAGCGGCGTAAAACCAAACTCAGTCAGTCAGTCCAATGTACCTAGTTATTGATTTCTTATTGCTGTCTTTAGTTAAGTGTGTGTTCATTATTAAATATGCATATTGTCACATTTTTTAATCCAAATATAAATCCCAACATGAATCCCAAACCAAAAGGAGGGAATATTAAACAGATTGATGCTCTTCTTTTCTTGATATTTCCTTGCAAGAATTATTTGATTTATGAAGTCTAGTTTTGGAAAATTGGAAATCATGTAGGTAGAGTTTAGCTCCTTCAAAAGTAAAGCTGTGACGATATACTGAAGTATCGATAACCGTGATACTTTATCTGATGATAAATATATCGATACTTTTGTTCGTATCGTGATATGAATTGTTGACCTTAAAATTGTTAATGTTCACTAGAAATTGACGGTAATGTAAAAATTTACACTGTTACTTGCTATCAAAATATACTTTTTAAGGAAAATAACTAAAGATAAAGATAGCATATCGTATCTATGCATCGAATCCGTATCGTCCATCATTCCAAGATATCTTATAATAGCACATGGTATATTTTAGTCAGTTTATTTTCGTTACACCTCTATTCAAAATCCCAGGGAAATATTTTAGGTAATAGCACATACAGTAATATTTTAGTCAGTTTATTTCAGTTATACCTGCTTCGATTCACAATGGGCACATAGGTGAAGCCCATTTCTGGTGGACCCCAGGTTATTAGGAATTTTAGGTATCCTAAACTCAGTCAGTCAGTAGGCAATACGAGGGTCCTGTGAAGTAACAGTGTAGAGAACTGTATGTTTTGATCATTACTTTAGAGCCTGGAATGAATCATTGATCATGTGTACTGATGGGTGAAATGATGCAAGTAACTGTTCTGAAAGAAACAACCAAACACTTAGCAAAGTCATAGATGTGTTGTTGGTAAAATGAATAATATTGTGCATATTTCAGGGACAAAGTGAATTTTGTTTCTGTGTCCATTCTCTACATCTGTGCGTACTGAATGCACATTTACGTGTCGCGTAAAAACCTAAGAATACAACACAGTTGGTTACCTGTCCCTTGTTCTCCACCAATGACTGAATGAGGATGATCATGTGATCAGTCTCATCAGTCCAGTCATACACATCCCACTTGCGACGATGTGCATCCGCCAACATCTTCTTGTGGACTAGCTGGAACTTGTTGCACACGGGCCCATATAACTATCAGAAACAAAATAAAAACTTGCAATGTCATCTTATATTGATATCTGCCAACAATATTATGTCACAGTGAGTGGGTTTAGTTTTAAGCCGCACTCAGCAATATTCCAGCTATATGGCGGCAGTCTGTCAATAATCCAGTCTGGACCAGACAATCCAGTGATCTACAGCATGAGCATCGATCTGCGCAATTGGGACATGATGGCATGTGTCAACCAAGTCAGCTAGCCTGACTATCCTATCCCATTAGTTGCCTCTTACGACAAGAATGGGTTGCTGAAGATCAATTCTAACCCGGATCTTCACAGGTCTTATCTGTTACAGATGAAAACAATAGGGCAATGATGTACCAATGAGGTCTGTATGGCACTCTGTAGCATCAGCTGGGACATTGTTGAGAAATTTGTACAGTGGCACAGAAAATTGACATTCTGTGAAATTTGATTACCAAAGGGGTCATTTTTCATTGTTAAGCCTAGGGCTTAAATACAGGAATCCCTGTTAGTTTATCCATCAACAATATCTGAACAAATATCAACTGTAAGTCGGTGAGAGCACTACAGAACTAACCACGCATACCAATGTCCCTTTAATTCAAGTCTAACTCAGTCAAACTAGTTGCTGGTATTAGAACAACAATCCATGCTATTGCTAATGGGGCATAATGACAAACATTCAGCAAACTCACCAAACCTGTTCAAGGGATTATTTAGACAATGCATACACGAAGTGACAAGTTGCCTGTTGCCTATTCAAACTGGAATATCAAGAACTTCATAACTGCATGTTTGTTCATTTGTTTGTTAAACACTGCACTCAGCAATTTTCCAGCTACATCATGATGGCAGTGTTCACGAATAGCATCTGACCCTCTGACAAATCCAGCAGACTCGCCAAAGGTCTGATAGAAGTCTACAACCCACCAGCCCCAGTGTCTGACTGTATATTTCACAATGACTTTGACTGAAGTTGTTATATGTGACATGTGACACTTGTTTGCTGTTTATAAATCTTATGTTTGTTAATAATTTCAATGCCAATTATAAGAAATGTAAAATCTGAAATGTGTGTTTAATTTTATTCTTTGGGTTCTGTGAATTTTCAATTGGTCAGACAGACATCTGAAGCTTACAGGACCCAATGTTCTGTTACTTTGAAACACCATTCGTGAACACTGACATGATGGCGGTCTGTAAATTATCGAAGTCTGGGCCAGACAGTCCAGTGATTGACATCATAAGCATCAATCTCATAACAGCATGACATAGACATGATAGAAGTTGTTCATCTTTTATTCCAAGGTCACAGAATTCAAATAAATATCAAAACAGGGAAACTTAATTCTTTCATGCACATCACCTTAATTGTTCAAATGGTAAAGTCATTAACTTTGCATACCTTTTTAGCTTCTTCTTTTGACTGAGTTTCTGTCAATAATCCCAGGGCATCACCCACGCATTGACCATATATAGCTGCATAAATCCGATCATAGACCCGGCATGCATCTCGGCGTATAACCTGACAAACAGAAATCTCTTTACATGAAGAAAACCCATGCTGTAAGTATCATTACATAAAGGTGCTTTGGTACTCACAACTTTACAGTTTATTGTACATGGAAAGGTGGAATGTGCCAGTGCTTAACACCGGCTGCGCTGGGAGCATTCCTTAAGCTTATTACGGTTGATAAGGAATGGCTCATCATTATAACATACATACACTGTAAACATAATCTTGATGATAAGTATTGGTCATTGGATTGTATCACCATTAGGGCTGTCATCATAAGGGCATATTGTGAATACAACTGCAACCCTTTCAGTGTGTGAAATTGTTTCCAAATTTTGCTAGCCAGTCAGGCTGGCTATGCCTGAAAGTTACTATCCCGCAAAATACTTCACTAACCCGAAATGTGAATGGAGACGCAGGTTTCATCATTAAGCTGCTAAAATGATGAACATTTTTATCAGGCCATAATCTTGTATGATCTAAAAGTTCATTAGAACTTACCAAGTCAGAGAGAGTGATATATTTACAAAATTACCCCACGAAAATTCACTAGCCAGTCGAAATAGTGATAGTGGAGATTTACTGGCCCGACTGGATTTTTACTAGCCACGGACTAGAGGGCCAGTGGCTATTTTGCACACTGATCCCTTTCATCCTGTTCATGAATTCTACTAATTATTCGTAGTCACTGGAATCAAAAAATTATTAGTTTTTAAAAAGCAAGGGATTTTTACTTGAACTCATATGTTTTCATGGTGGTGTGTGGTCCTGTGCATAGAGCTCAGGACACAAATCAGGTGAAGTTAAGCAACGTTGGGCACAGAAATCCCTTGGATGGGTGACACTGACAGTGTTTTGTCCACGATTGATAATAATGAAAATAAATCGTGTGATGCAAGGTTAGGGTGGCGGACAAATTCTATAGTGGCTTCAATAATGTCCCGACTCGGACAACTGGCCTACGGGTACAGTGTACTCTAACCGTCAACACTGGTACTGAGGAGTAAGGACGGAATGAACACAAGTGAAGTGTCAGTGTCAAAATCGTTTCAAAGGATCGCGACAACTTGTTAGAAATGAGACAACATCGATCCAGATATATCACAATGTGATCAAATTACACATGTTTGAGGTAAAATACATACCTTGTATGGCTGACACCTTGGTGAATTAACATCACGCCGACTGCGATCAGTTTTCTTTTTCAATTTCCCGCTCAGAATAATACCTCTCCCGGTCGTCGCCATTTTAAATTTCCCACCGTACTTTTCTGTAGCAGTAATGTGATCGGCTCTACTGGCTTCACTCGAATAGTCAACATCGTGAGTTACCTCCCTTACTTTCACAAACGATCCGTTGAATGTATTGGTTTAACAGCGTTTTCCCCGGGCGATACTGGCGGCGCCTGGAGAGAGAGTGCTTGATAAAAAAAAGAGTGTTCCTAATCATGTTCCTGATTGTTCATACCTCAGTATAATACGCGCTTATGCATTGTTCATGTATCCATTCAAGACCCTGAGTACTACAGATACGTCACTGAAAGAAACACGGTTCCTGGATAAGTAATGATATTATTTATCTTGGTGAGAAAGATACCATATGTATATTCATTCTTTAATTTTCATTTGAGGCCCATATGACTATATATGCCCAATATAATGCCAATACATTTATCCTTATGTCGCAATTATACAAAATATTGTGTTTGTGAGTTAATACATGTATGATACAAGTTATTTCAAGTAGAGATGCCAGTTATGTACCAGTAAATACAAGATATATCATTACAAATACACGTTATACAACTAAAGATACAAGATATGTAAGCAGAGATGCACATAACAGCAAATAAATGTTATGTAAGTACTGATGCAAATAATTGAAGCACGGATACAAGTTATTTACGTACATATACAAGTTATTTAAGTACAGATACACAGATATAGATACAAAATATACAGGTGGAAAGAGATACCGCAACACTTGTGATTTTAACACCCATATAGCCATTCATATTAATACCATAATTAAGTCGTATTTTATTATTATTTTGATTTTTCAGGTGCTCCATACATTGTTTTAGATATACACGTGTTGTGATGAATTGCGAGTATAACGTGCAATACTAGTCTGTCCCTGAACCATATTATTTTCCCTGTTGCGTAGCCCTCCCTGCAATGTAGTCTGTCTCACAGTCCCTGACCCATATTATTTTCCCCACTGCCTATAGCCCTCACTGCAATGTAATCTGTCTCACAGTCCCTGAACCACATTATTTTCCCTGTTGCCTAGCCCTCCCTGCAATGTAGTCTGTCTCACAGTCCCTGAACCTCATTATTTTCCCTGTTGCATAGCCCTCCCTGCAATGTAGTCTGTCTCACAGTCCCTGAACCACATTATTTTCCCTGTTGCCTAGCCCTCACTGCAATGTAGTCTGTCTCACAGTCCCTGAACCATATTATTTTCCTTACAGCCTAGCCCTCCCTGCAATGTAGTCTGTCTCACAGTCTCTGAACCACATTGTTTTCCCCACTGCCTATAGCCCTCCTGCAATGTAGTCTGACCCACAGTCCCTGAACCACATTATTTTCCCCACTGCCTATAGCCCTCCTGCAATGTAGTCTGTCTCACAGTCCCTGAACCACATTATTTTCCCCACTGCCTATAGCCCTCCTGCAATGTAGTCTGTCTCACAGTCCCTGAACCACATTATTTTCCCTACAGCCTAGCCCTCCCTGCAATGCTAAAGCCCTAAATGAAGCAAGTCTAGATTTCCTCAGGTTCAGAATCTGACATCCTTTTCATTTTAATCAAATGGGATTATTTGTTACTATCAAAACTATATACATTCAGAGACTAAGCGTTAGTCTAGTGCAATACCTAAACCTTTCATTAAGCAAATATGAAAATTCAGTACACTGTTAGAGCTCGATAAGGTGGAAATTCTATTGATTTCGTTGTTGTTACGCAACTAAAGAGTCTCCTCAACTGACAACTGCTTAAACATGGCAAGTTGCAGAGTACTGGCAAGTCACTGAGGGTTATTCAGGTTGTCCACGACTGACAACTACGGGGAGGACACAACCCTTATCAGAATCACAAGACTTAATTCATCCGTTCAGGTGGCTTCCACATCGTCGTTTGTCTTGCAGAAAGATCCGAATTCGACTAAAATGGCCTTGTTTAGAGAGAGACGACCTATCATACGTCCGCGGTTATCCCCAGGGCTAAAGCAGCACGACCAGATAGGTACCATGCTCACCATTGTACCCATCTGGGGAATCGAACCCAGGTTTTCGGCGTGACGTGCGAACGCTTTAACCACTAGGCTCCCCCGTCACCCCCTGACGTCATAGGAAAGGTTCGACTGGTCGGACGAAAGTCGATTTCAAATGTCCATGACTGATGTCCGAGTTCGTGTTTGGTCCCGCAGAAATACTGCATATGCAAGTTCTGTTTAGCGGGGGTTGTGAGGGTGCCTCTGAAATGATTGTAAACCTGACCCTGTGACGTTCATACAGAATTTCAATGGACAACGGTACATCACTACGTTCATCACGGTACATCCAGACAGGGTTGTTGTACCACATTTCCGATGACCATCCTCTGAACATGCTAGGTCACATCGTGCACCTGCCGGTACACCTTTTTTCGCCAAGAGACTGTAGCAACTCCGTCAAGAATGGAACACAATACCCCAACGTCTAATTCAACGTCTGATACAGAGAGTGAGTGAGTGAGTTTAGTTTAGTTTTACGCCGCTTTTAGCAATATTTCAGCAATATCACGGCGGGGGACACCAGGAATGGGCTTAACACATTGCATCCATGTGGGGAATCGAACCGGGTCTTCGGCGTGACGAGCCAACGCTTTAACCACTAGGCTACCCCACCGCCCCTGATACAGAGAGAGGGGAGGGTCAAGATTGTTATTGTATATACCAGATATTGACACTGTGCTCGTTTATTGATACTTAGGTGATTTCTCGAATATTGTAGGCCTGGATATTGAAAATGAAAAGTGTAGATAATCGCAGTTTGAAAATGAAGAAAGTCTCTGGGATCCTTTGTATTAATGTTACGAATATAATTTAGGGACTGTTGTTTTTGCCAAACGTCCAGGGCAAGTCTTCTCTAACTGTAAACCGGAACTAGACACTCAGACAATATATGCGTTGCCATGCGTCATTTTGGTTTGCTGAACTTTGGCGATTTTATTATTTCATAGCTACAAAATACACACAACTTTCAGATATGTTTGTGGCCATTTTACAAAACATTACAAAAATTCGAATGTAAATTATCAAAGTCTTTCAGTGAAACTGGAATGCGATGTTGAACATAAAATATTTTTTTTCATTTGCCTCTTAACTCTCCATATAACTTTTCTTTGTATCCGTCTTAATTAAGTTGCCTAATATTAGGCAAACATATTGATAAGAAATCTCCACTGTGTCATCCCACATCAAGATACTCGCTTCCTTGTAAATGTTGATATAATGTACAAATTGTGTGATGTTTCCCGACTTCGTGAAGTTTGTAATACTGAAATTGTTAACTGTTAATTGAAAGATGGTAAAATAAGGGTAAACAAGTGTTCAGTTGTTAATCTGTCGTATTTCCGGGACCCAGCCACAAATTTTGGCTGGATATTAAAGGCGACCATTGCAAGTGATCACTCAGGCCAGTAACAACATCTCAAGGTGGTTTGAATTTCCTCAGTGACATTACATGCATAACAAGACATATTTATCTGTGAGACCCTATATACCCTAAAGGCATATAAAGCAATAAATCAACATATAAATAAATACATTTTTATTTACGTTTATACCATACCCATATTACTCTCTCTCTAAAGGGGCGGTGGGGTAGCCTAGTGGTTAAAGTGTTAGCTCGTCACGCCGAAGACCCGGATTCGATTCCCCACATGGGAACGATGTGTGAAGCCCATTTCTGGTGTCCCCCGTCGTGATATTGCTGGAATATTGCGAAAAGCGGTGTCAAACTAAACTCACTCACCCATAATTCTCTCTACATGGACGGCAGAGTAGACCAGGTAAAAGTGTTGTCACGCCGAAATCCTGGGTTCGATTCTGCACACGGAAGGACATTTCTGGTGTACCCCGCAGTGATACTGCTGGAAGATTGACAACTGCGGCGTTAAACCATTGCACTGAAAGCAGATATTCTTAAAATGAAAATAATATAATACCAACGACACATTCTGTGTCCCCAACTGACAACTGGGGATTAGATGACTTAAATATGTGTCCCGACTGACTGTGTATGATCATACCTCGGCTGGCATGTTATCAACCTCTTGTTTTCTTGTCCAGACTTGATTATGTCCAGACTAACGTATACCCGTGAAGATCCGGGTTAGGATTGGTCATCAGTACCCCATGCTTGTCGTAAGACGTGACTAACGGGATCTGGGCCCAATTTTACAATGCGATCTTTGCGCTGAGATGATCGTAACTCCCATACTTTAACCTTGACCTACGATCACAATGATAGCCCTATGGTCGCTATGTGGAAAGGGTCATGGCTGACTTGGTTGATACATATTTTATCGGTTCCCAATTTCCTGGATCGATGTTCATGGTGTCAACTACTGGGTTGTCTGGTCCAGAATATTATTTTTTACAGACAGCCGTCATATAGCTGGAATATTTCCGCGAGCGGCGTTAAACAAACACACAAACAAACTGAGACACTGACGTGATATAGTTATTAATTAGCTATCACTTGAATAAAACAATGTTGAATACAAAAACCCGGCCAAAATATGAAGTCTGCTCTTGCTTCACCAGTTTGCGCAAAGTCTATGAAAATAAAACGTACATTATCCCAGTAAAGAAACTAATCTTACCAAGCGAAATACTTATAATAGCACTTTTTTATCACCACTATACCATATACCCAACGTGCCATGAAGCGGCCCTTCTCGAACAAGAAGTGAGTCAGAAATGTACTGTCGGTAAATACTACGATTCTATTCGTAAGCCTCGATGTCACATGTGCGAGAGAAACATGCACAAGTGATGTAGACGCCGGTGTTGTTTGAGTAGTCAACAGTATATAGTTATTTGAAGAGTAACAGAGAAATGATGTTCATGTTGATGTAACAGAAACAAACATATTGTTTAAGTGACGTTGCGTACAAAATGTTGCCGGTTGCCACTGACGGCCAAACGACGGAAGTCTTTGGAAAGTTGTCAAGTAAGGCGCTTCATACATTCATAAATCTTTTTTTCCAATTATTTCTTCGTATAAATTATATGCCTGACTTCAACGAATAATTATCTGTCTCCAGTATTTTGTGTAATTATGACTTGTATTTTCTGAAGAGTTATCTAATTATTTAATAAGATGAGGATAAAGCAACACGTTAATGATTTACGTGGATTTCTATCTTTTAAGAATTATTTCCATTAACTGTTTGAGAGGTTCCTACTTTGTTTTCCATATAAAGGAAACTACATTTTTGGGTAAGACTTCCGCCCGTATCCCCCCTAAATTTTAACGATGAGGAAAAATTTCTGTGAGTGGCATGTTTATAAGTTTCAGTACCGTATGTTCATATACAATTAGCATGTTAAATGTTTAAAATTAACATGTTAAAACTCATCCTTATCAGATGAGGAATAAATACTCAGGTGATATGATTTGACTAGAATGAAATTTAAGGGGGGAAACGGGAGGAAATCTTTCCGATTTTTCAATGCATTCAATAAAAAGTTTGCTTCATTTGTGGTGTTATCTAAAGAAATATTGTGTGTGTTAAATCATGTCATTGACGAAGTAATACCAACCGTTTTTCAGACCCACTTATCTTGGAGGTGGAACCCGTTGGTCGTTGGTTTGAAGCGTACACTCAGAGACTCCAGAACAAGCATTCAGTATCCCATCATTCCCGGTCTAGCTCCAGCTCTTCCGAGAGTGAGACTGATATCTATGATGATGATGAATTCAGCGAGGCGCTGCTGCTGGGCTTAGACCCAAAAGAATGGAAGGTAGGAATGATAAATGGGTGAATTGGGTGATGATCAGTGATGCTGATAATCTCCATGGGATTCCAGTAGGGGATGTTTGTATGTTGTTTAATACTTCACTCAGTAATATTGTTGTTTAATATTGCACTCAGCAATAGTCCATCTGTATGATGCCAGCCTGTAAAGAATTGAGTCTCTACCTGACCATGTGAGCAACCATTGTTATCCAGCCTCATGTAAGAATGTCGAGTTTTGATTGGTTCACGTGACTCTGATAAAATACCATGTACACCCCTCATGATCCGCGAGCAGGGAGTACAAAAGCCTTTAGTAACGTGCGCTGCATTGAGGTCAACCGATCAGCTGGTGTCAATATGGCAGCAAGGAAACGTTTTGCCAAAACAACTGATAAATTTTGTTTTGTTTTGTTTTCATTTAGTAAAAACATTCGGCTAGAGAAATGCGTTATCGTGTCGAGGGAAATACGGGGTTTTATCAGTCCCGAGTAAGGTTGTATTCCCCAATCCTCCGGCTCGGAACTGATAAAACCTTGTATTTCCCTCGACACGATGTGATAATTTATATTGCTGTCAGGGTGTAAGGATGTGTAATCAACCGAGTCACTTGGCACCTCTTATTATCAGTGGGGTGGTGGGGTAGCATTGTGATTAAAGCTTTCACTCGTTATGCTGAAGATCTAGGTTTGATTCCCCTCATGGAGTCCTGTGCCATGATATTGTTGGAATGTTCCTAAAGATGGTGTAAAACCATACTCACTCTTACAATCTGATTTGGTTGCTAGAGAGCTGTTGTTACCTAGAATCTTCATAGTTAGCAACCTGTGCTTTTAAGGCTGACTGTTTGAATTGGGTTGGTAGTGTTTTATGTGGCCTGTCAGTGTACAATGACTCCAGAAAATTTCTAAGGCTGTCAAAAACGGTAACGGGTCATTTCACCCCAAACATGTTCACCCCAAACATGTTCACCCCAGCACAGTTTCACACCAAGTTGTTTCACTAGCGTTGGGTATTGCCAAACTTTTCGTATTGCGATATTTGTGATATGTGTTGGCATATTGCAATATGTATTGCAATATATTGTGATATGTGTAACACATGGTTTAAGGTAATGAAATTACTGCTTCCTTACTTTTGAATCAATGCCACCGGCCACTGGCAGGACTCAGATTTGATTGTACAAGAGAACAATTGAAAATGTTTCCAAATTGTTTATCCCAACAACGAGTGCTGGTACCAATCTATTTTTTATATGGTTTAAAAGTAATGCAAATGCAATTATATGACCAAGAAACATTCTCAAAACTATTAATGTATGATAATATAAAGGATATAATGTTTTTAGTATTTTTGACTACATCACGAAAATTACCAATCATGGTCATGGAAATTGCCGATCATACCAGGTGAACCGGTTCACGAAAAGTGTACCGCAATATACATGTATATCGTATTGTGAAGTTCGAATTGCAATATACTGGTTAACCAGTATTATCGCCCACCCCTTTGTTTCACCCCATTTAGAGGTTGTTTCACCCCAGCAAAATAATATTATTATTGTAAACTATTAAAAAATTTCAGTATTTTATTCATCTATGTAAGTCTATGGTCTCTTGATAGAAGACCATTCTGAACTACTCTTGGGTTTTCACTTGGTCAGCCTCACAGTGGCACAAGAACATAGATGAGATATAAGCTTAAGTCTGATGTGCCATGACAACTGAACTGAACTTTATTTACACCGTCCGCGTTCTGCGGCATTACAGGTACAGGTTTACATCACAATGTAAAACTTAAATACATGTATGAGTGAGTGAGTTGTGGTTTACGCCGCACTCAGCAATGTTCCAGCTACATGGCGGCGGCGGTATGTAAATAATCGAGTCTGGACCAGACAATCCAGTGATCAACAGCATGAGCATCGATCTGCTTAATTGGGAACCGATGACATTTGTCAACCCAGTCAGCCAGCCTGACCACCCGATCCCGTTAGTCGCCTCTTACGACAAGCATGGGTTACTGAAGATCAGTATTCTAACCCGGACCTTCACGGGTTAATACATGTATGAAACATAAAGAAGTCATATATATATCGCTTGGTTGCAAGAATAAACTGTCTGTACATTAGTCCTAGTATTGGCATACAACCTACGATACGATACATTACGATACTAAAATTTTAGTCACGACGATATATTGCCAAAGTATTGTGCACTGAAGCTGCGATACGATATGAATCCCGATATAAGGGTGGCGATACAAAACGTATCACGATACTAAAATCTTTAATTCTAACACCAACTATAAAACACCTTAAGATCAAAATAAAACCCTTTTAAAGTATTTCGTCAATTTCCGCCAGCGTTTTTCAATGTTTATTCGGAATCGAGATCATTAAGTTTATACACAGACTTTGTAAATGTTAATAACATGCGAGCGCTATGTCTGACACAGTGCTTGGCGCAAGAATTTCCGAGAAAATGTTTACTTATGAAGGGAAAATAAGTAAGCATATATTTTTATCATCAAACAAAAGTAAGTCTTTTTTCTTGAAAGATATCGCGATTCGGCAATATTCAAAGTTAAACATCGATGTATTGTGGCCCATTTGAAGTATCATATCGGGATATACTTCAATGTAAAACTTTGTATCGATTCACTGTATCGGCGGCCCATGGATCGATGCATTGATGCGTATCGATGAATCGTCACACCACTACTGTACATACATTTTGACCATTTAAATGAACAACATTACACTCATGCGTTATTGGTTATCTTTTGTGGGCGCGTTGCTTATACTGAGACATTATTTTGCAAAATATTGCTAATTTCCTAATTGTTCCTTGTTTGTTGAGTGAAAAAGCTGGTTCATTTTGTGCATTTTCGGGTTTCTACAAAAATAGTTGTTGTTTTTTCCTTTGTTGGGCCAAGGTAAAGGCAAATAAACAAAAAAGTAAAATTCATCTCCAATATCGTTTGCATTACAGAGGGTACATAATCTTTCATTTGGGGGAGTTTTGATCCATCGTCCTGTTTCAGTTGGTAGATAATGGCTTGAAGACAAATTAAGTAAGTACCTTTGCTTAAAACAAAATCCATTGTTTTAGTGACCTTGTCAGCTAGATTCTTTTTTATTAAGGTTAGAGAGACACAGTAGCATTTACCTGATTGTAGTAAAAACATTGCCTAATTAGGATTAACAGATTTAAGCGTTAATACCATTCTCCATGTATACTCAATTAGTTGGACCACCTTCGTGGTGTAGTGGTTAGAGCATCCGCCCAGGTAGCGGAAGGGTGCGGGTTCGATCCCCGACCGCGTCATACCAAAAGACGTTAAAATATGGTACTTGTTGGTCCCTGCCTGGCGCCCGGCATTAATGGGTACAATAAGGACTGGTCGGCTCGGAGTCAGTATAATGTGTCTGAGTGGGGTATTCCTGCTTCACTGTGGCATGGTATCTCAGTGGGCTAGCACTATAAAACCAGCTTAAGTCTGGACTAGTACAAGCAGCCGCATACACATACACACGCATGCACATACACATACACACGCATGCACGTTGTCATATGAGCGAAATATTCTCAGACACGACGTAAAACCCAATTTCACCTCACCTCAATAAGTTGGGATGAAACAACTCTATGGGATGAATTGACCTAGTTTGGAATTGGGAAGAAATAACAGAGGTGAAATGACCAGGGTGAATTGACTTGGGCTGAAACAACCCGGAAAACGTCAAAAACTGTATTGACAAACTTGATGGATAACAACTTCTTGGGTCATCATTGACAACAGGTCAAGAATCTGTATCAAAATGTCGCACTCACAAAATAAAGAAGTTGATATCCATCAAGTTTGTCAATATTGTACTTTCCAAATTTTAAAATACCACTCAAAGAAGTTGACAAAAACTGGTTTGTCTGGTCAAAACAGAATTTAAGACTGCCATGATGAAGATGGATTATTGTGGACTACAGCGTAAAACAAACTGACTGTATTTTACAACACTGGTGGGGCGGTGGGGTAGCCTAGTGGTTAAAGCATTTGTTCATCACACCGAAGACCTGGGTTCAATTCACCACATGGGCACAATGTGAGAAGCCCATTTCTGGTGTCCCCCGCCCTGATGTTGCTGGAATTTTGCTAACAGCGGCGTAAAACTAAACTCACTCACTTACAACACTGGGTGGATTTTGGGTTAGGGGTGTGAGATCCCCAGTCTAAGTAAACTTAGTAGAGCTGTGACGATATATCGTAGTATCGATAATCGTGATACTTTATCTGACGATAAATATATCTATGTGTTTTTGCGTATCGTGATATGTATCGTTGACCTTAAAATTGTTAATTTTCACTAGATATTGATGGTTATGTCAAAATTTCTTGCTATTAAAATATGATTTTTTAAAGAAAATAACTGAAGAAAGCATATCGTGATATGCATCGAATCGTATCGTTCCAAGATATCGCGATACGTATCGTATCGCGAAATTTCTGTATCGTCACACCTCTAAAACTTAGGCTAACTTGTACGTTACACTGCTATACTGAGTCTAACAAACCGTAGTAGAAAGTCGCGTCAGCTAACCTTTTGAATCAGAACACAGCATACCAATTGCGAATATTAACATTCACACATACCAATTGAACCTTTACCTTGAAAACATTTGTATTCGAACGATTCCGAATGCTATTTTCCACACGATCACTTCCGAATGATACACATGCCATTATTCACAACAGTGAGTAAACAGTTGCAGGAAATAGCATGTTCGTAAATATGCCAGGATGTCATCTTGCAGAAATATAAGCTAATAAGAGAATATCCAAAAACACTGAATATCAAACTGAATTCTGAAGAATTGAAAAGATTAAAACAGTTATTGGTGACAGGGAACCGTAAATCAAGCCAAACCCAAAATAGTAGCTGTTGTGTGATTGGTTGAATCAGTTCGGCCGTCTCGCGTTTGATTGGACGGTCATAGGTCGCTCAAAGGTTAGCTGACTCAACCTTCTACTAGGGTTTGTTAGACTCAATATAGCAGTGTAACGAAGAATACTGAGCCTAAGTTTACTTAGACTGATGAGATCCCCAGTGTCCTTCACATGTCGTAAGATAATACTGCGTGGATTGGATGGTTAGACTCAATGACTTGGTTGAATGTATGTTTTACTCTGTGAAGTACAAAGTTGCTCATATCAGTGACTGGTCTTCATGTTCTTAGACTCTATCATTTACAGACCACCTTAATATGGATGGCGTCTTGCTGAGTGCAGGTTGATGATGATGATGATGATGATGATAATATGGATGGCGTCTTGCTGAGTGCAGGTTGATGATGATGATGATGATGATGATGATGATGATTTACATTGATATATTTCATCTGCATCATTGTAAGCCTGGTAGAGGCCCAGAATGGCTTATTACATAACAGCCAAGCTTCACTCAAAATGAAAAACTAGAAAGACAGGAAGTAATCGCAGGCTTCTGCAATATTATGCTATAAGGATAGGAATTAATGCTAGCCCGCTAGCAGAAACCCCTTTATGAATAGGGCTAGTAGAACTCCAAACATAATTGTGGGTATCCACCCATATAGCTGGAATATTGCTGAGTGCAGCATTAAATATCAGAAGAAAAAAGAGGGTATCACTAACTTACCGGTACTATTCTGACTAGTAAACCATTAAGGTCAATTTATGTCACTGCATATTATATAGTATGACCAGAAATTATTGAGAATTTTAGGAATATGTTTAATTGGATTTCTAGTATAAACAACCTTGACCAGCTATCAAGTGCTTGGGTTCATTCAAGGGAGACAACCCCGTTAATCCTTTTTCATTAGTTTGTGAAGAGTTATCCCCCTTTGTTTACTTGCCAGCAGACGACATTTTCAGTGATCCTCAGTATGGATGATTTAGAGAAGAGGAAGTTGATTTTAGAGTATTATAACAAGGACATGAGATCAGCTAAAGTGATTTCAAGTACAACAGGCATCCCTTTGTCCACTGTTTAGAAAGTTTAGACCAGGGAAGAAATGGCCTGCTACACTGGGTTTGATTCCCCACATGGGTTCAATGCGTGAAGCCCATGTCTTGTGTCCCCCGCCATGATATTGCTGGAATATTGCTAAAAAGCAAACTCACTCGCTTATTGCAGCATCAAGATCACTATGCAGTGCTAGGATTGAAGAATCTACGGTACAAGGCCTCAGAGGACCAGATAAAGAGGGCATGTAAGTATTGGTAGCACTGACTAAACACCATAATACTAGCCGTGGGCATGATCCACTTTAGTTGAGCTACAAGTATTAACTGTATAGTTATATCATAGGTTTACATCTTAGTGCTATGAGACCGCCTCCGTGGTGTAGTGGTTAGAGCGTCCGCCCGGAGAGTGGAAGGTCGTGGGTTCGATCCCCTACCGCCTCATACCAAAAGATGTTAAAATATGGTACTTGTTGGTCCGTGCCTGGCTCTCGGCATTAATGGGTACAACAAGGACTGGTCGGCTCGGAGTCAGTATAATGTGTCTGAGTGGGGTATTCATGCTTCACTGCGGGATGATATCTCAGTGGGCTAGCACTATAAAACCAGATTCAGTCTGGGCTAGTACAAGCAGCCGCACCTACACATACACACGCATGCCCGTCGTCATATGAGCGAAATATCCTCAGACATGACGTTAAACCCAATTTCACCTCACCTCACCTTAGAGCTATGAACACTTTGTTTATCATATTATCACCATTATAATAACGCCTTTGTTAGACTTTTGATAGCCAGTGGTATATATCATGTAGCTCTTGATGCAGTAACTTTCCAAGAGAAGACAACTAAGAAACTGTTTCATGTTTACAGATAAAAGGAAAGTTTTGAAGCATCACCCAGACAAGCGGAAGGCGAGAGGCTTGAAGGTGAAGGACGGTGAAGATGATTATTTCACTTGTATTACCAGAGGTATGTGATCTTGGGTCAAAATGAGAGCAGTGACTTAGTGTGATGTTAACTGCTGTAATGTTATAGCTGAAATTATCCACTGATGCCTTAATATATCACACCACAGGGTGCAATTTCCCCATTTACAACCTGCACCGATGCATGTTCAAAATGGCTGGTGCGGGTTACTGTCAGTAATAGGTTGCACCCGGTGCAGGTAACGATAAATCCTTCATCATCTTACAGCTGTCATTGTGTGTTTTAAATGGGAAGTAAGGGACTGGAAGTAACAAGACTTGTTACAAGCATAAACATTTATGTACTCAGTAATCAGTTACGTAGCAGTAATCGTATGACTGAGATTTATGAATAAAGGTAAGGCAAAATTGAAACAGAATCAGTCATCATTTATCATCATGGGATCTGGGTCAGTTGAATGTATCTGATAATGAGTACTTGTTAATAAAATTATTAAAGAAGTATTTATGTTACGTTTAAGAAGCAGTGACATTATTTTATGGTGCAACCAGAATTTTGATGATGCAGCCAAATCTATAAACCAGGTTGCACTCAGTGCAAGTACTGAAAAAAACCTGAAATCACATCCTGCACCAAATGATACTTTATAACAGAAACTTCATTAGTATTGACGGGGGCACTTTGGTCTTGTATATTAAATCACCACAGTTCATTGTGGAGAGTTGCTTCCCTTTGGTGTGCCATGATCCTATGGTTGTGATTTTCAATCCCAGGTTGATGATGATACAGGATGTTAACATGCACATGGCATTGACCTTCATATTTCAATTTGTGCCCAAAGCAACATTAAAGGGGAAGTGAACGTGAAAAAATCACGTTTTTTTTCATTTCATGTGAAACAAAACAAACTTTTAGAATCAGTTCATGTCAATGTTTGAAAATAATCACACATTTTTCTTACATTGAAATTAGATCTCCCAATACAAGTGTTATGTTTCGCCAATACAAGGCCTTTTATTTTCCAAGGACATAGGCCATAGTTACCCCCTTAGATGATGACATGATTGGTCCAGTTGATTTTGACTGGTGTCCTGTCTTGTCCCGAAGCCAAAGATATATAAAGAAATTAATGGGAAAATGAGTTAAAAACTGTAAGATCGCAGTGTTTGCCTATAACCCTGAAAAGCTGTAGGCCCTAAGGACCCAGAACCCAAAAAATCAATTGCACCAGCACTAGTTCTCAGTATCCCTGTTCGAATCAATAAATCCGTAATGAGGGTCAGATGGTAGCAGTGTCTCTCATCTCCAATTGTGTGTCAGTGTTCCCTTGTATGTAGATCGCTGCTCATGCAGTCGACCATTGGTTTGCATCGACCAGATTCATTGTTTTCAGGCTGCCGTGATATAGGTGTTAAACAACAGGCACTGAGCTGTGTTTGACTTGTGTCGTTAGATAGCCGCAGCTGTTATGCAGGAATTTTTTTTGTGGATTAGTGACAGTTGAAAACTATTTCCTATGCCTTTTTTTGCTTGAGAAGGCCGGGCCTGTGTCCCATATACCACTCAAGAGAAGTAGAGGAGCACCTAACACTGTGAAAGAATTGGGTGATCCTTAACATCTTTTGTACAGTATACTTAGAAATGAAGGGTCATGTATTTTTTTCGAGGTCACAAATGTGCCCATGACCTTTACAACCTGAATCAGTGATTGTTTATTCTGTGGCTGTATGTGCGAAGTCATGTAATTTATAGAGACCAATATCGAATGTTTCAGCCTATGAGGTTCTTGGTACCCCCTCTAAGAGACGGGCATATGACAGCGTTGATCCAGAATTTGATGATTCCGTACCATCAGTTACAGCACACTCAAAAGAAGATTTCTATGAAACCTTCACATCTGTGTTTGAAAGGAATGCAAGGTGATGATTTCTCAAATATTCCTGCAGTTCTTTTTCTTGTTTATGTCAGCAGTTACAGAATCAACTTGTAGGAGCGCAAATTTAGACATGGTGAAAAATTTACTGTCACTGCACAGTTTGTAGTCCTTTACCCAGTGAAGTGGATCTTAACAATTAAGGACTTTGAGTCCTCTATACCTAAAAAACAAATATACCCAGGTAAATCGCCAGAAAGTGCTTATCTTTGATTGGTTTGTTTGTTAAACACTGCCATTAGCGATATTCCAGCAAGATGGACGTGGTCTGCAAAAAATCATCTCTGGACCAGACAATACAGTGGTTACTAACTTTTGCATCTACGCAAGTAGGATACGATGACACATGTCAACCAAGTCAGCAAGTCTGAGCTCCTGATCCCGTTAGTCGCCACTTACAGCAAGCATTGGTTACTGTAGACCAATTCTAACCCAGATATTTGTGGGTGGTACATTGTTTGATAAATCAACATTTGGCAATTCAAGTTAGATGGTTCTGTATTTAAGATTCCTATATTCATGACACGAAAGTCCAGCTGAGCTAATGACCTCATTGTACATTTCAGGTGGTCAAATAAGAAGCGAGTGCCCCCACTAGGAGATGACAATTCCACATTTGACGAAGTCAACGACTTCTATGGATTTTGGTAAGTTGTTGATATCACTGCAGAACTGACTTGTGTCTTTTTACTGTATGTCTTGAACATTTGAGGTTCCACATTGGAGGATGTTGTCACCTGTAACATTACAGACAGGCAATATTCCTGAAACATTGTAGGATGTGGTGGTTTGCCTGATCATTGGAAGATGTTGTCACCTACCTGAAATATTACATTCTGTGACCATACCCCTGAAACATTACAGTCTGTGACCACATTCCTGAAACCTTGTGGGATGTTGTCACCTACCTGAAACATTGTAGGATGTTGTCACCTACCTGAAATGTTGTAGGATGTTATCACCTACCTCAAACGTTGTAGGATGTTGTCACCTACCTCAAACATTGTAGGATGTTGTCACCTACCTCAAACATTGTAGGATGTTGTCACCTACCTCAAACATTGTAGGATGTTATCACCTTCCTCAGGCATTGTAGGATGTTGTCACCTACCTCAAACATTGTAGGATGTTGTCACCTACCTCAAACATTGTAGGATGTTGTCACCTACCTCAAACATTGTAGGATGTTGTCACCTACCTCAAACATTGTAGGATGTTGTCACCTACCCCAAACATTGTAGGATGTTGTCACCTACCTCAAACATTGTAGGATGTTGTCACCTACCCCAAACATTGTAGGATGTTGTCACCTACCTGAAAAATTACAGACTTGCCAGACTTCTGACAAATTACAAGATGTTGCCTCTTGCCTTTCAAAATTCCTGAGACATTGCAGGTTGACATATACCAGGAAAACATGAGTATTGGACATGGGCAGACATGGCCTCTCAGACTAGAATGGTTGAAAATCGCTTTTTCAAAAATATGTACCAAAGACAATCTGAACGTATATATATATCCCATGCCAAGTGATTCAAGTCATCATCTCCATAGCACATTTTCTGTTGTATCACTTTATCACATCTTATTTTCCAGGTATGAATTTGATTCATGGAGAGAATATTCATATTTAGATGAAGAAGAAAAAGAAAAGGGTGAAAAGTAAGTATGATATCTGATCGTCAGTCAGAAAGGAATGATGAGCTTGTCGCTTCAACGTCAGTGCGCAACATCACACCAACAAATATTGTTTTACATTGTGTTCTTAACCCTGTATATAGTAACCTCCAATATGGTATCATAAACGGTAAATGTAGTGCTACGGTACTGTTTCATTATTACATGTCTTATGTCTTTGTCTCAGCAGAGGGGCGGTGGGGTAGTCTAGTGGTTAAAGCGTTGGCTCGTCACGCCGAAGACCCGGGTTCGAATCCCCACATGGGTACAATGAGTGAAGCCCATTTCTGGTGTCCCTTGCCGTGATATTGCTGGAATATTGCTAAAAGCGGCGTAAAACCAAACTCAGTCAGTCAGTTGTCTCAGCAGATAGGATTGGCAGTATGAAAGTTGGGATTTTAATACAGTTGAGTAAATATTGTGTCATAATGAAGGAGGGGGAGGCAGGATAGCCTAGTGATAAAGCGTTCGCTCGTCACGCCAAAGACCCGCGTTCGATTCCCCACATGGGCCCAATGTGTGAAGGCTATTTCTTGTGTCCCCCGCAGTGATATTGTTGGAATATTGCTAAAAGCGGCGTTAAACCACACTCACTCACTCACTCACTCTCTCACTCAAAATGAAGGAATAGTATTGATCATAACACAGTGATATAACTTTCTGTGTAACAGTCGGGATGAAAGAAGATGGATTGAAAAGCAGAACAAGGCTGCTCGACAGAAGCGGAAGAAGGAAGAGGTTTCAAGGATACGATTGTTAGTTGGTGAGTTGATGACTGTTTCATGGATCTGTGTTCACATTTCTATAATAAAGATGTAACTCAGAACACTGAATAATGAACAATGCTTCACTGCATTGTCAGATCTTTGGTGCATCTTCAGAACTTGACTGCATTGTCGATACATAACTGCATTATACTTCGATAGAGGGTAAGTACAGTAAACTGTGTCTGTAACACATGCTTGTAACAAACTGACAGATACCGTGAATCCTCATATTTAAGCCCTGTCGTTTTGATTTTCGAATGACGTAAATTTGAAATTTCTTTTAGAGTGATCTCACTACTGAGATGGGCTCACTACTGGACACGATAAGAACAGATTTCTTGGGCATTTGCATGGATGGTCACATTCTTAAAGTTATGGTGATCTTAAAAAATCTTGTGAATGTTCCAGAATGGGAAGTCCCCCAAAATATTGAACTCTTTGTTTCCAAAGGTGGATCAATGACCGAGGCCCTGATTTCAACGCAACAGTTTTAATTTTAAAAGAGTTCTCTCAAATTATAATGGTTATGTTGAAAAGATGAACGAATTTGTTCATGGAATAAGATTCGTTCCATTAAAAGTTAAAAAGAATAAAGTTTTGTTGTATTTTACCTCCTCTCGAATTTAAGCCCAGGGCTTAATTTCAGAAAAAATAATTCTTAGATGAAATGGGTTAAATTTGAAATTAAGCCCAGGGCTAAAATACGAGGATGCCTGGTATGAGGAAGTGTTCTATTTTTTGTCATGTCCTATTGCTGTTTATATTAGTCCAATGCATATAATAAACTATGGTTAACAAACTATAATTAGTGGTCCCTTTGAGTTGGTTATAGTGGTAGATTATTGTATTATGTTCAATGTTATCGATGCCACAATTTCCATATCTGTAATCAGGTTACTGATGCAATATTCGCTCGCTCACCCACCCAACCACCCACCCAACCACTAGGGCTGCACAATATAACCGGTTACCGGTATTTACCGGTTCAGACATGAAAACGATACGTATTGCGATACGCTAATCGAAAACCGTAATTTTGACTTGCATTTCGGAAAACTTCATATGTCTGTATCTCTATCTCCCTCGCTCACTCGCTCAGGACTTGTGTGTCTCAGATATATGATCCCTGCCTTCTATGTTGTAGACAATAGCTATGCCTGTGATCCTCGAATACAGAAGTTTAAAGATGAGGAGAAGGAGAAGAAGTTGGCAGCCAAACGGGCCAAGCAGGAAGCAGCACGGTTAAGGGCGGAGGAGGAAGATAGAGTAAGGCTGCAAGAGGAAGTAGTTGTCACAAGAACCATCATGTATATTTATTGTCATCAAACTTATTACATTTACAGTTAAATGCACTGATATCAAATGCATCTAAGGAACTGTATGAAAATCCTGGGATAGTTTGGCATTGAATTTGCAGGTCAGAAGACCCGTGAAGATCTGGATTATAATTGGTCTTCAGCAACCCATGCTTGTCTTAAGAGGTGACTAACGGGATCGCTGACTTGGTTGTCACATGTCATCGTATCCCAGTTGCGTAGATCGATGCTCATGCTCTTGATCACTGGATTGTCTGCTCCAGACTTGATTATTTACAGACCGCCACCATGTAGCTGGAATCTGTTTTCAAAAACATACTTTGAGACTGGTGTTCTCCTGTCACAGGTTCGAAGAGAAGCAGAGGAAGAGGAGAGGAGGAAGAAACAGGAAGAAGATGATAAAGCTAAAGCACAGGTAAGTTAAAGGTGTTTTGTCACAGCATTAGTACATGTTACTGGAGGAAAACCAAGTTCTGTGGATAGTCAGCCTCTTTATTGCAATGAGTGCAACGTTACAGTGTTAGTACCTACACCGAAACGTCGCACACATTGCAAAAAGGAAGTTGACTATCCATAGAACTTGGTTTTCTCAACTTCTAAGATGCCTCTCAAAGAAGTTACATGTTAGTGACCGGTCAAGGGTGATATGGATTCCATACTACCGCTGGTGGGGAGGTGGAGGTACTCTGACCTACTTACACCACATATCTCCCTTTGCATCTAGATCACCTAGCTGATCATCATAGTCAATGATATCAAATGCTGTCATCTAATGCGTTTGTTGTGTTGTCCAAACTATCGCAAGGCTGCAGTGAGGTAGGGGCAGTGGGGTAGCCTAATGGTTAAAGCGTCGGCTCATCAGACTGACGACCCGGGTTCGAATCCCCACATGGGCACAATGTGTGAAGCCCATTTATGGTGTCCCCCGCCATGATATTGCTGGAATATTGCTAAAAGCGACGTAAAAACCCAACTCCCTCACTCACTCACTGCAGTGAGGTATCTGTAGGAAACATGCCTGTGCTAGTCTTGGAGTCAGATTTATCATACACCATGTTCATCTTATTCAAATTATAATATGGTACAGGCTCATACTGAGTAAGTAGCTGTTACAAAGTTGATTGTGTTCGTCAAGGAGGCTGATGGTGTCCTATATTGCCTTCTATCATATTCATTGTCTTGTCTGACTTATTGTTAGGTTGCCGTGATGTGACTGTAACATTCCTGCCTGTGACTTTGGTGGGGTGAATATCATTCTTGGTCACAGCAGACGAGGTTAAATGTGTGGAGTGTGAATCAGCATCAGACAAACCAGTTGAAGTACTGTCGGAAATAGAAAAAAACTGTTTTTTGGCTGTTACTCTGTATCCCTAAAATTTACACAATTGCAAATAGCATATGTCTAAAAAACACACATCGGCCTAACTGGGCGTTCAGTGGGATGCGTAATAGCATATCCAGAAAAGCATGTTTACTCGTAAAATCGGGCAATACTTTGAAAAAATACGAATAGCTGCTTAAAACAATAGATCAGACTATAGATGACAATTAGGTCGCTCGGCCAGGTATGATGACATACCGTCGACACACCGAGCATGAAATGCACGTACTGCCTATAGGCACAAGGGGTCATCTCAAAGATATTCAATGTGTTTTCTTTTGTGTTGAATATGTCTCAAATATTGATTAACATCTAATGTCTTTTTTTCATAAAGTTTATGTTGAGATATGTAAAACAGCATGATACCCATAGAAAGGCTTAAATCAGCCATCGTATCAAATGTCTAAAAAATATAGGTAGCATGGCCACCTGAAGATCGACAGGACAGGATATTATTTGTAAATTGTTACTGCCCCAGTTTAATTCCCCTAAAGGATTATCTTATCTTAGCTGATATCTCTAATCCCCCAGCCCGACCCCAACCATCGTCTACGACACCCGACCTGGTTTTCCTTTTACGACACCCGACCTGGTTTTCCTTTTGAGACGTTTTATAGTGGTAGTGAGACTCCATGGTAGCTACATCTTTAATAGTTTCACGAGTAAACATATTATTTTGTACAGCAGCTATCGTTTCTAATGAAGCTAAGTCTAATTTCAAAATGGGCATTTTTTTTGTCCTTTGTAATACAATATCATTGCACATGGCATAAAGCCAAGGTCTGTTCCAAATAAGTCAACTTGGACTTAGAAAAAACAACACATTGCTCATTTCTGGACTAATCTCTCGTATCAGTAAAGTCCTTTTTTTATGTTTCCTATCTCACTACCACAGAGACTGTAGTTAGGCCGAACTTAGTTTAACAGATATTTCACACTTTCACATATTAACTGCATTAATTGCGGATCTAAATGTGAAAAAATCAAACCCTATTTCCGACAGTACTTTAGTGTCATGTTCAGGAGCGGAGGGGTAGCCTAGTGGTTAAAGTGGCTCATCACGCCGAGGACTCAGGTTGAATTCCCCACATGGGTACAATGTGTGAAGCCAATTTCTGGTGTCCCCACAATGATATTGCGGGAATATTGCTAAAAGTGGCGTAAAACCATACTTACACACTCACTCACTCACTGACTAGTGTAATGTGTGATGTTCCTTATCTTCCCCCCTGTTGCAGGCTGCTGCAGCCAAGAAGGAGAGAGAAGCTCAGAAGAAGGCGCTGAAGAAGGAGAGGAAGACTATGCGAACTGTGATAAAGGTCGGGGAATGTTTTAGATTTTCCCCTTAATGTTATTGTTTTATGCTTACTCTGTGAAGCTCACCCTTACCAGGCCAAGATTTCATGTTTCAGTACTTGGCCATTTAGAAAGATGTTTCCATCACCTCAGCTTAGACTTGCTTCAAATATGATGCCTCAGGGTGTCTTAGGGGTGTTTTAAGACACAAGTAGTGACCTTGGTTTTGCCTTTAAGGTCTGTCATTGTGAAATGGTAAAAAGAACAATTGTAGTAGACTCAGTTTTGTGGACTAGGTGCTATTTTAATCGTGAATCTTTATATCTTCCATCATTGCAGGACTATGAATATTTTGCCAGTGACGAGAAGGAAAGGTTGGACTATATGACGGAGGTTGACAAGTTGGCGGAAATATTGTCACTCACAAAGTAAGTAGTTTTTTGCTTCAGAAAAGATTCAAGTGTCTGTGACATTTGTACCAATTACAAACAGGAACACTATACATTTATCCCCAAAATACAAGAATAAGACAAAACCAAGAATGCGCCTCATATTTAAACAACCATTTGCAGGGGTATTCTCTAATTGTTCACATTCTCTATACAGAGGTTCCATGATGACATTGTTTGATTTCTGTCGATGTTACCAAGCGATGCTTTTTTAGAGAGTGTGCTTTTACGTTACATGAGCCTGTGTTGTCCCCATGCTAGTGATTCTTGTCTTACCTGTAGGTTACAGTCCTTGAATGAATCTCTTAACTGTGGGGACAAGGAGAAGGCTAAAGATGCTTTCCTGAAACATGTGAGTATTATAAATAACACCCAACAACATAATATGTTTCTTGATAAAGAACCCGTGAAGGTCCGGGTTAGAATGAACTTTCAGTAACCCATGCTTGTCGTAAGAGGCGACTAACGGGATCGGATGGTAAGGCTCGCTGACTTGGTTGACACATGTCATTGGTTCCCAATTGCGCAGATCGATGCTCATGCTGTTTGCTCACTAGATTGTCTGGTCCAGACTTGATTATTTACAGACCGCCGCCATATAGCTGGAATATTGCCGAGTGTGGCGTAAAACTAAACTCACTCACTCACTCACTCTTGATAAGGAATATCATTGGAAGCTGATGGAATTGTGTGTATGTCCGTCTGTGTGTCTACATCCATCTCCGTGTGTCTTTGCCCATCTGTATGTGTCTTTAGGCGACACGGGGGAAGAGAGACAGCTCCTAATTGTCCAAAGAAGACTTGTGTCTGATTCCCTGATGGGCACAAAGTATGAAGCCTGTGCCATTGCATCACGTTGTTAGAGCTAATACTTTAATGACACAAAGAAATTCCTACATCTCCTAGAACCTATCCTTGTCTAGACAACATGATTAATTGTGTCACATTGTACCCTGAGTATGTGGATGACTGCTCATATATCAGTCACCAGATTGTCGGGTCCAGATTCAGTTATTTACAGTCATCCAATAGCTGGAATATCATAGAGTGCAGTAGAAACAAAGTGTGATTATTATTGTAGGATATCTATATAGCGCACATATCCACGCAACTAGTGCATGCTCAAGGTGCTGGTATTTTTCCACTCAATCATTGGATGTCAATCTCAATGGCACATCGTATTATCAATCTCATCTCCCTGGGGAGTATACAACTCTTGCAGACACTAGGCGCACCGAGTTATTGCGGCTTTCTCATCCTAATGAGGTACCCATTCACAGCTGGGTGGACTGGGACACAGTCACAGTACTTTGTCCAAGTTCACTGCACGTTGCTGTACGCGCAATTAGGTGTTTGCACGTATTCATGTGGCCACCATCTGGTTTGCAGCAGCTTCTTGAAGATTTGTCCCAATCTCTGATGCTATCTTTGTACACAAGGGTATCATAGATGAGGATGGATGGATGACCTGCTTCAGCCTGACTCACATCCAGTGGGCTGCCATGATGGACCTAAATGTGCACACTATGGCAAAGAAGCCATCTCTCATATCAAGAGAGACCCGTGAAGGTCCGGGTTAGAATTGATCTTCAGCAACCCATGCTTGTCGTGAGAGGCGACTAACGGGATCAGCTGGTCAGGCTCGCTGACTGGGTTGACACATGTCATCGTATCCCAATTGCGTAGATCGATGTTCATGATGTTGATCCCTGGATTGTCTGGTCCAGAGTCGATAATTTACAGACAGCCGCCATATAGCTGGAATATTGCTGAGTGGGGCGTAAAACTAAACTCACTCACTCACTCTCTCAATCATATCAAGAGAAGTAATAACTAAGGCCATCTTCAATAACATTCAAGCTGTCCAAATTTGAATTCTCTAAAATTTAAGACCATTTATGTGAAGAGTAACTTGTAAGTCCTTTAATTTTCTGTGTATAATCAAAATGAGATCAGATAAATGTGTAAATTGATTATTCAGGCGAAAGAAGTGAATGACGGCATTGAGCGTGAGAAGCGGGAGCAGATCGAGGCCATGTCTAAGAGCAGCGGGAGTGACAGTAACAAGGGCAAGAAGACATGGACAGAGGAAGAGTTGTCTTTCCTTATCAAGGCCGTCAACCTCTTCCCAGCAGGAACTAAAGACAGGTTATGATTACACAATGCTATTTAGAAAGTGGTCAAATGTAACATGTTATATTTGGGATTCTACCATGGCTACATGAAATGCTCAAATTTGATTGGTCAATCAATAAAATCAGACTTTTTGGATTGAAAATGTGTCTGATTTCACGGTGCTTCACTGCGCACGTATACAACACACTGCCGCACTACTTCAGCTTGACCACCAACATGGCTAATATCAACACAACAGATGTGATGTAAATGCTTACAAAACATTTATTGAAATTCGAAAAATACAATTATATGATTTTTCCTCCACAATTATTAGGGAAACTCACCATCATATTACCTTCTATTATAAAAAATATTCAAACTCAATTACCATACACAGACCCAAACATAAACAAACAATATCAAACTTATGAATCAGAAAGCCTTGTGAAAATACATCCATATCTATACAAAATGTGCACCAAAACGTTAGTAAACATTTGCCTACCTGGTAAATGGTATATTTGTTTCTGTTTATAATGGGAAATTAACAAGATAATAGTCAGGCGAAACACCAAATTTATGCCAATCGTACTCCATTATGACCTGTTGCTTCGTTCAAAAAATAGATGTCAAAACTTGAACCACCAGAAATTTGCTCTCTGCTAGCTTCCCCGCAAGGCTGTCACTGCTGGAGATCTATGTTCGTACACTTTGAAAAAAGCTTGGCCATAATCCAGTCCCAAGTGATGAAAACAATGTTCCAAGGAATCCAAAGTTAGTGGCATGTACACAAAGCTGCACTGTCACTCTTTCGTCGCATGCGGGGGTGAAGGCACGTACGTGAAATCATGATTGACACTCGCCTGTCATAAAAATCAACAGTCTTTGATGAGTTACAGGTCATGGGTCGATCAGAAAAGGATCTATTCTTTGATTCTGCAGGGTTCAGATTCGACAGTCAGTCAAGTATTTTCCACTGTCACTTCAAATTTCAACCATTCTCAAAATGTAAACACTGGCTTGTCCGCCATTTCGAACTGTTGCGCTGTCAACAACTACTTCCAAGTAAATAAGTAGGTCAGACGATTCCATTATAGTGTGGCCAGGGGGGTACAGTAACACGGCACACAAAACAATAGGCGGGTTTCGGTATTGTGAAGTTGGGATTATATAAACCAAGCTCTTAGGTATCACATTATTGCATTGAATAAACAGTAGTTTGTTTTCTTTGGACAGAATAGAAGTGGCAGTGTTAAACAAAATACGAACGGCACCTACCTCTCCCTTCACAGACGAGTTCAAACTGCCTCTCGTCCCATGCCGGATTACGTAGTGTCTTCCGCAGAACGAAGAATTTCGATTTTAAATCGGTTATGGTAGAATGGAGATAAACATACTGTGTTTGGAAATTAGATGAATGTTAGACCGAATTGATAGTCTCTAAATTAATCATTTGAAACCTCACTCTACGCGTTCGGCTTCAAATGAAATTTAGAGACCAATTCGGTCTAACATTCATCTAATTTCCAAACACAGTACGTTTATCTCCTAATTACACTTTCAACTTTTAGTACTTTTTGGGTTGAGTCCCATCCGGGATTCGAACCCACACCCTGAATTTGTACTTTACTAAGAAAATGTAATCCCAAATAAAACATATGTTAAAGACAGGTTGGTGGTAATTTACCGTTATTCCAATTATTCAGGGATACATGTAATTTTTGCTTATCCTGACTCATGCTAATTATGCTTGTCTCCTTCCTCTTGCGAATGATAGTGGAACACTTGAAATCCCTTGAAGTTCCCTTCTAAAAAAGTGGACGTAAAATCACTCACCCACGAGTAGCGTCCCTTTCCTCCCTTTTGGCGTCCAAATGGTCACATGATTGGCCATATTTGTCACTCTCTCCGACAGCCGGATTTACAGGGAAATCCAGAGTGCGATAAGAGGGTAATAATAGATATTCAGCCAGATGTTTTGTAAAGGAAAGATAACATACATCTTGTAGTTTGGTCTGATGTTATTTAACCTGACATAATGTTCTGATTGTAGTCCAAGGGGCAGAAAGGTTTCATTCATTTTTTGTATTCCTGCTTGTTACAGGTGGGAGGTGATAGCCAAGTTTATAGGGCAGCATGTGGATGGTAGCAATAAAACTGCCAAGGATGTACTAGGCAAGGCCAAGGATTTACAGAAAAATGGTAGGTTGCTTGCTTTGGACATAATGGCGGCACCCAGACAAGACTATCGGATCTGTATGTAAATCAGGTCTTATCTCACAAAGTGCTTCAACTTACTTCACCACCCTATGCTCATCACACTGAAGACCGCGTCATACCAAAAGACCTTAAAATATGGTACTTGTTGGTCCCTGCCTGGTGCTCGGCATTAATGGGTACAACAAGGACTGGTCGGCTCGGAGTCAGTATGATATGTCTGAGTGGGGTATTCATGCTTCACTGCAGCATGGTATCTCAGTGGGCTAGCACTATAAACCCAGCTTAAGTCTGGGCTAGTACAAGCAGCCGCACATACACATACACACGCATGCACATCGTCATATGAGTGAAATATTCTCAAGCACGACGTAAAACCCAATTTCACCTCACCTCACCTCACCCATTTCTGGTGTCCTCTGCCATGATGTTGCTGGAATATTGCTAAAAGTGGCGAAAAACCATACTCACTCACACACTCACTACTTCAGCACCTAGATTAACAACATGACAAGATTTGGAAAATATGTTGATGTCCAGATGGCAATATGTATACTTTGAAAATCCTTCGATCGACCAAAGTCTGCAAGTAGTTTACAAACTGGATGTCGATTTCAATTTCAATTGGACTATGCAAAGACGCTTTAGTCCAGTCATAGCTTAATGATGAAATTCCAGCCCAGTTTAATAAAGGTGAAAACTGGACTTCTAGAGTCAGTTGCCTCCCTTGGCTAGGGAAGATTCACATCCACTGCCCTCAGTCTCAAAGGCAGTTGCTATGCTTTGTACTGTTTAGTTGCTGTTACTGTACCCTAGTGGTTAAAGTGTTCGCTCGTCACGCCAAAAACAAGGGTTCGATACTCTACATGGGTACAATGTGTGAAGCCCATTTCTGGTGTACCCCACTGATATTGCTGGAATATTGCTAAAAGAGGCGTAAAACTCACTCACTCACTCACTATACCCTGCAACAAGGTAGATAACTCTGGTCCTGCTTTTCACCCTTGACAAGGTTGGTAACTGCTGTAGCTTTATAGCCTATGACAAGGCAGATAACTAGCAGCTTTACTTTGATATTCACCAAAGAAATATTTGACCTTAGGCAGATTAAATGCTGACCAAATAGTGAGAAATCATGCAATGAATAAGAATATATTTGGTCATGTGTGTGTTTCAAGAGTTTGTGTCTTTTCAGACTCCTTCCTGAAGGAGGAAGCCCAGAAGAAGGCATATGAAAAGTTCATGCACGAGCACAAGGCTGCTGCTTCTGGGATGCAGGATGTCCCCAGTGAGAGGATGGAGAGTAGGTCATCTTGTCATGTGGTAATGTTTTGAAGAAAGTGTTAGCTCATGGGTTTGATTCCATACTTACATTGCAGGGCCGTTGTTAAAAGCGGCATGGAATCATACTCATTAGCTCACAGAGCATCGTGTTTACCAGGGTTCCCTATGAGAATAGTTAGACAGTCTGGGTCCCATGTCAAAGGGTCTAGCATAATCAGTCGATACAATGTGTAGGGTATATATATTAAACCTATATTTCAGTGGGCTTGCAGTGTCAACTTTAGCATGCATGCTAACACGTGAATAAACGTTGCATTGAAAGTATGATTTTCTTGAATGCAACGTTACAACGTTTTAGCGCATGCCCTCATATCATGGGGCGGTGTGATAGCCTAGAGGTGAAGACCTGGGTTCAATTCCACACGTTAGTACTCTGTATGAAGCCAATTTCTTATGTCCCTTGCCATGATATTGCTGGAATATTATTTACATTTAGGAGTAGGTCCTTAAACCTTTGCTTGCAATGTTGACATCACTCTGGGTTTGATTCCCCTCATGGGTGATATGGTTGTAATATTGGTGAAAGAGTCATCAACACTCACTCACTCACTCAGCTCTTCTCCCCCCCAGGTATTGCTGAGCAGCAGATCCGGGAGACCGGCACCAACCCTGCCCCCTGGACATCAGATGAGCAGAAGCTCCTGGAGCAAGCCCTCAAAACATTCAACGCCAGTACACCTGACAGGTGGGAGAGGATTGCCGAGTGTCTACCTCTACGCAGTAAGAAGGACTGCATGAAGAGATACAAGGTAATAGTCACGTCTCCTCCTGGAGGGGCGGTAGGGTAGCCTGGTAGTTAAAGCGTTCGCTCATCACGCTGAAGACCCGGGTTCGATTCCCCACATGGGTATAATATGTGAAGCCCATTTCTGGTGTCCCCAGTCATGATATTGCTGGAATATTGCTAAAAGCGGCGGACAACTAAACTCACTCACTCACTCGTTCTCCTCCTGGTTGGGTGCCACATACAAATTTGTCCACAACTTCCTAGGCTGGTTGTAAGATGCTATGATGGATCGAAAGGTCAGCATAGTGAGTTGGTCGATTGTGTGTCAACTTGATGGTGTGATTGATGCTGATAATATCATGGGATTGTCTGGCCAACACTGAATTATTTAGAAGCCTAAGCTTGTAACTTTGATATAGCAGTGTGGCATCAAACGTCATGTTAATACTTACTTGCATGACGTGCAATAGGTTGTTGCTCGTGCATTCCGGGAAAGAGAAACAGAGCAAATGAAGGCCACACAATACTGTCACTTTTGGAAAGCTCAACCCCTGCCCTTGCGATCGTTCAAAAAATTAAACGGCTATTGAAACGCATAGCATGCCAAGGCTCACGTCTGCATAACGTCATGAGGCCATTGGGATGGTCCGTGGGGGAATGTCTCAACGACAAGTGGCTGCACATTTCCACTGCCACCGGAACACCATTTCTGCACTGGTGAGACGCTACCAGAACACAAATGACGTCATCGATCGGCCACGTTCTGGGCGTCCACGTGTAACAACGCCAAGAAAGGACAGATGGATAAGGGTGACCCATCTGCGCCACAGGTTTTCAGACTGCAGTGATGACTGCCCGAACCATCCCAGGATTTCGCCCATTATCCACACCAACACAGTTCGACAACGTTTACGTCATCAGGGATCAGACCAGGGCGTCCTGCCATACGGCCTATCCTGACACAAGCGTCATCGACAAGCTCACCGAATGTGGTGCGAAATCATGTCCGCAGACCCTTGTTTTGGTGGAGAAATGTTGTTTTACAGATGAGTCCAGGTTTAACATTTCCCATAGTGATGGATGTCAACGTGCCTATAGATGCGTGATAGAACGTTATGCACAGGCCTGTCTTGGAGAGGAATCGCTTTGGTGGTGGTTCCGTGATGATTTGGGGTGGAATAACAGCACGCCAAAGAACCCCTTTGGTGATTGTTCAGGGCAACTGAACTGGTGTGGGCTACAGACAGGGATCAGATTCTTCGACCTGTGGCAATTCCTTTTCTGCAACGTCATGGCCCTGGGTTAACATTCCAACAGGACAATGCCCGCCCTCATACGGCAAGGGTTGCTATGGATTTCTTGCAACACCACAACGTTGACTTACTGCCTTGGTCTGCAAATTCCCCGGATCTCTCCCTGATAGAGCATGTTTGGGACGAGATGGATCGATGTCTACGCCGTCTTCCTCATCCGCCAGATAACGTCCTTGACCTTGCAACAGAACTTGAGAGAATCTGGCGTGACATCCCACAAGCCTTCCTTGCACGTTTGATAGGCTCTATGCGTCGACGATGCACTGCTGTTCTCAATGCCAATGGTGGACATACCCGTTATTGAGCTTGTGACATTGTCGTTTGACCCCTGTCCCGCTTGTGGACTCGTGACGTCATTGTGATTGACTTTTCAATTGAAATTCTCCTGACTTGTTATGGTCTCATGATCCCTCCATTAAAGTTTATATGTACCTTTGACATTGTTATCGTACTTATCAACTGGGATAATATTTTGACAATGCACAGTTCCTTTATGTGGCTAGTATAGTTGTGGACAACTGTTCATCGGGGAAACGCTGCGACCTGTCAACACAAGACTCAAGGAACATCAAGCTTCCGTCAACAAGCTCGACCAGAAGTCTGCCATATCAGAACATATACTAAAGAACAAGGACCGCACCATCAAATGGGAAGCCACCAAAATCCTGTCCACAAGCAACAACTGGCGCCAAAGGAAGCTTCAGGAAGCCATAGACATACGGAGATGTCAGCTAGCAATCAACCGTGACCAAGGAATCTACCTACCATGTGCTTGGGACTCACTCATCTAATTACATCACTGTTGCTTATCACTACCTCATCAGCCCACTGGCCTCTTGTTTGTAGTGCTCACTGCCCTCCCTTACCTCGTGTTTGTACGGTATCACTGGCTTCCCTGTGTTATTCTACACCCAATCAATTACCATGTTGTTTTAGCGTATCACTGGCCTCCTCGTGTTTGTTTTACATCCCATCAATCTATTATCATGTTGTTTTAGTGTATCACTGGCCTCATGTTGTTATTACATATTCATTCCTCAACATTGTTAAACTTGTTATACATGTTTTCTTTGTAAGTGCCCATGTATGTGTATATGTATATCCCCCTTATACTCCCTACCATTCACCTGATGAAGGAGCAAGCATATGTCGTGTTATTCACAATAAAGAAGTTGACATCCATAAAATCTTGCTTTTCCTATGTATTCCACTTATAAATGCCCTTCAAAGATAGGATTTTCTATGTTTTACTCAACTGCTTTTCAGAAATGTACACATTCATCTGTACACATTCATCAACAAATGCACTGATTAATACTGTCTGTGTTGCAGGAGTTGTGTGAAATCGTTAAGGCCAAGAAAGCAGCACAGGAGGCAGCAAAGGGGAAGAAGACATGACGACAGTGTCCGCTAGATACCGATGTTGTCTTGTCTGCTGTGGATGTACAGTCTCTCACCAATGTTTCGGACAATCCCTGAGTGTACACAGTGTGTACGATCAACGCTGTAGCTACATGTTAACATGAGTGTATTGCTGTACATCGATACCCATCTTTGGCTTGAGAACCCAAGCACCTCACATCTGAGGGTTTACTGAGAATACAACACTGAAACAGTCAAACGAGTTTTCCATATTTGAAATACATCTGTTGTCTACAAAATTTATTTAAGTTCTTTAACAACAAAGTCATTGTTTGCGTTTGATGAACTTCAAAAATTATAAATAATAGTACTGCAGCCATATTGATGTATCTCTTTTGATGCAATTTTGTAAATGAATTTTGAAATATTGAGGTTAAATATTAATATTGAGTACTGTTACAGTTTTTTCTGTTAATAAATCATTAATGAAATAATTTACAAAGTATGATTAAATATGTTGTTTGAATTGTTTAAGAATGAAATGTGAGGCTTTTTCTTGTTCAGGAGGCTATGGATATTCTGTCCCCGATACTCTGTAGTGTTGTGTTAGTGGATTTGTAACTCAGCTTACAAGCATAATACATAACCATGTGAGGCATTCATGGGGACTTGTTTGTGTGGGGTGAATGATAAGGTTTGTCCATATCCATTTTCATTTGTCAGCATGTCCATTAGCTATTAAAAATATTGAAAATTCTGCATCAAACGTTATCTGATCCATGAATACACAATGCCATTTAGACAGTGGTCAAATGTAACATGTTGTATTTGGGATTACTCTTTCTTAGTAAAGTACAGATACTAGTACTTTGGTTGGGTTGAACCCTCACCCTCAAAGTCAGGCATCTTATCGCCAGCACACACAGTCATCCGCCTAACCCATGTGGAAGCCGTGGTGGCTGAGCAGGTTAGACGGCCGACTTTGTGTGCTGGCGATTAGGTGCCTGACTCTGAGGGTGTGGTGTACAGATCCTGGATGGGACTCAACCCAACAAAATCTGTACTTTTCTAAGAAAGTGTAATCCTAAATGTAACATATGTTACATTACCTGATCCAGTGTAACTTTTTACATTCAGTTGATGAAATGTTAAGTTATTAACTGAAATATTTTTAAAATGCATCTTTAAATGTTTGTAATATTTGACAAAATAGCCCAAAATATCAAATGAAGTTGCTCTGTGTTTTTTGGGCAAGAGATAATCAAAGCACGATGTCATGTCTCCCAGTCATAAGTTCTTTGTAGTGAGTATGTATGTATGTACTAAAGTTGGTTTCTTGTCCTTTTTGAAGTTCAAGTGAAATTTTTGTAGAATTTCATCACGTTTTTTGTTCTGTTGACATCTCAGGAGGTTAATGTCATCCCCATTTAGTTGTGAGCAAGTAGTACGGGTAGAGTGTACTTTGCTGGTCACGATATTTGTGTTCCAGAACCATGAGATTCCACGTAACAATCTCCAGCAACCTGTACCAGTACAGTGGAAGCCCTCTGACCCGGCATTCGTTGGGACCGGCAAAAAATGCCGGTATAGAGGATGTGCCGGTTTAGAGGATCATAAATTAGCTTCTACCGGGACCAAATTCTCGTACCGATATTGAGAGCATGCCGGATTGGAGGGCTGCCGGGTTTAGAGGGCTTCCACTGTATATGTCTAAGAGGCAGCTGAATGAAATGGGTCCTCTTTACTTGATTGATTGCAGGTTTTAGATGGTCATGATGTCAACTATATAGGGTGATTAGTGGTTGAAATGTTAGGCCAAAGGCCTGGTTTGATAAGGGCATTATGTGATTCCCATTTCTGTTCCCCCCAGCTGTGAAATTGTTGAAACGATGTAAAAGCATTCTGGTGTCCCCTGCCGTGATATTGCTGGAATATTGCTTAAAGCTGCATAAATCCTTACTCAGTCTGTCTACAAATTACTGGATCAATTACCCCAATAATACACAGGAACACTGCATAGGTCACCCTAGTACTAAATAGTTGAGTCAGTCAGCCATTTGAGCTTACGGAACTGGAAAACCTCATTGGCATCTTCGGACACAAGCATCTCCACATGTGTTTGATGGGAATGAATTGAAATTCAGTGTATTTGTTGTAGATCTATAGCGTGTATTTAGTGAGAGGCATGGACATCCATGTTCCACTTTTCTGGACTGTATGCATGTGTACGTACTCTTTGAAGTATGAAAAGCATTTATACATTCAGAAATGTGGCATTGTCAATCAAAAATAATTAATAACACAATAACCAACATATTACTCAATGAGAAAGCCTAATCATAAAATGCACTAGATTCTATCCTCTTCTCATTTGGATCATTATATACTCCCCATCAAAAGTCTAGACTCACTAGTGTAAATGTAACCATTTACTTCAATCAACTGTTCTAAAATAAATTTTGCAAAACTTTCCACACTGTTTAAAGGTACTGTTTACATATTAACTGATGTATTGTAAAACAAATTTGTTGAAAATATTATTGTCATGAGTTCAATAAATGATGAAACTCAGTGAAAAATTGATGAATTTGTAACAAAATTTTAAACCAAAATGCAGCTGTTCACATGCATGATATTTGCACATGCTATACAGCAATGATCCTCGTGCAATTCATCTGAATAAGGTTTTCAGTTGGTTCCTCCAAGTTAGTGGAGAAATTCATCTTCGATGTAACCATACATATATACAAAACATATAGTGAGTTCTTTAAGCGAGTCTAAACTTTTGATGGGTAGTATAGGTTTCACATTAGTTACATGCAGCCATTTCTAAATTCAATATGGCTGCCAGGTAGTCATATTTGATTTTGATTATTGGATTCAGAACTTTCAAATAACTTCGTGATGTCACCTGAATCATTTGAATAGTATGCACAGTAAGATGATACAAAGGCTGATTTGGTGGCTTTACTGACAGCAATACCACCAATAACTATTCATCCCATTGGATTGAACTATTTGTCATTTTGAATAGTATACTGAAAGATATGGCCAGTGTAACCCTGACTGGTTGGAATCCGAATGGCAATTGTCAACCAAATGGGACTTTGTTTGTAATTATACTTATTCTGTCAGCGTTTGCATTTGCAGAGTTCGAAAAGGAAAATCTTCACATAAAGTCAACTGTCTCGTGACCCAATGTAACGACAACCTGGTACAGCATGTGAAATAATAATGTTATCCCTATCAGCAAACACTACCAGTAACCTGATAAGCTTCCAGTGATTCGTCATAAGGCCTGTTTTTATGATGGCCTTGTTCGTTACTTTAAAGTGAGGTAAATGTATACTCATCTGTGTCAGGTCATACTGCAGGAAAACGAATCGAGTCTGCATCTTCGGTCATCCAGTGCGTCTTCCCAAGCATGTTGGTGAACTCACGACTCAAATAAAATAATAAGTTTTCATATTTGTTTGGTTTCTGTTTATAGTCTTGTTGGTTTGATGATGTTAACGCCGCACTCAACAATATTCCAGTAATATGGCAGCGGTCTGTAAATAATCGATTCTGGACCAGACAATCCAGTGATCAACATCGAGCATCTATCTATAAAGTTGGGATACGGAGACGTGTCAACCAAGTCAGTAAGCCTGATCAACCGATTCTATCAGTCGCCTCATATGACAAGCATGGGTTGCTGAAGACCGATTCTAACCAGGATCTTCAGTCGTCTGTATGTGTTGGTTCATGTATGCGTTTGATGGCCAAACTGGGATTAAACATATATTTCGTAGCTGTTAAAACTTTCATGATTCCTCAACATCCTTAACACTGAATTGAAAATAATGACCCTTTTCTGCTGTGGAAGCACCATACTTGTTCAAAAGTTGTGTTTTTCATGTCAGCTGTGTTGCTTAAAAGAAGGGGCCGTGGGATAGCTAAGTGGTTTACACATTCGTCGTCACGCTGAACACCCAGGTCTTCCTCATGAGTACAATGTACAATTCTGGTGTCCCTGCGGTTATATTGCTAAAAAGCAGCATAAACCGTATTCACACACTTAAGAGAACTTAAAGAGACATGATCATTACCATTCTCTTCCCACAGAGGTTACTCCTGTCATATCTTCCTACGTAACCTCTGTTCTAATACGGCCCTTTCATGGTGTGAGCGTTCAAGACTCGTGATTGGAGGCAATCAGATTTAGTTGTGCAATCAGCGACGTTGTTTCAAAAGTGATCATGGGGGATATTTGTGGCCTCACATTTGCTTGTGTTAGTCAAGTTGAATCTAAGTAGATGTAACACGTGTTCTGATTGGATAAAAAGAAGGGAGATAATTCGTGTTGCGATCTTTCGCCGCTAGGGGATTTTACGAGAACCGGGAAATATGGCTGTATTAGAACAGAGGTTCGTAGGAAGATATGACAAGTAACCTCTGTGGGAAGAGACATGATCATTTCATGATTTAGTTAATCTTTTATGGCACACTGTTCTCCGAGTACTATAGACAGTACTACACTATACAAGACTGACAAACTATAATAATATGGAAGCATGGGTTGTACTTTATCTTCTTTTGACTGGTATAAATTGCTGTAGACGTGTTCAAGGTGCATACTTCCATAATTTGAACCAATCATTCATATTCACTGGGGTCACAACATGTTTTCTGTGAAAATTCAATTAGAACTGGACCCCATACAGCTGGAACATTATTGAGTGCAGCGTAAAACTAACTCCCTCACTCACTCTGCGACTTGGTTTATTGCATGTCATCAAGATCAAAGGCTCTTGATCATATCAATCACTGGATTGTCCAATCTTGCCAGGTTGATTGCATTGAACAGACAAAACAATTCTTGTGTTCCATCCAACTGTTTTATGTTGAGGGTGACATGTCATAAATACAACAAAGACGGAATCATTTTTATGATTTTATTTACCACTGATTGTGTGATCCCTCATGTACTACATATATATCGCATAAGCCATATTTACATCACAAATATACATCCGACCACAAACACAGCCTGGCTGCTAGAGAAGGGAATAAATACCCACTAGAATAGACATCTTCCGAATCTAGTCAAAGGTTCTCTTACAAAATAGAGACGAGAGCGATAGATCAACAACTTATAACAAGTACGAATTAGCACTTTCCGTTGCTGAAATAATCAGGTGAAAGGTTATGATTCGTATATGGTAAATGTATTGGACATGAAAAGGATAGTTGGGAACTGAATGATTTTATTTATTTTATAAATTTACATATGAATGAATTCTTTTGTTTGTTTCATGGATGAAGGAAATTTGAGATCATTTACATTTGAGCACAATTGAGATTCATTATGAATGAGGTTGATATACATTGTGCCTCATAGATTAAAATTGATCAGTTCTGCCGGGGTACCCACTTTTCAACACATTGAGGGATTGGTTACCAGGGGCAATAGAGAGTATGGTTTTATGCCACTTTTAGCAATATTCCAGCAATATCATGGCAGGAGACACCAGAAATGGGCTTCACACATTGTACCCATGTCGGGAATTGAACCCGGATTGGCGTGACGAGCGAACACTGGGCTACCCCACCACCCTATCAGCGGCAATATTAGCCAACATCATCAATGTCAGTATCAATGTGCCTTCACATTAACCTCAAACTGATGTTCGAGAATAAGATTTTCACAATAAAATTTTGATATCATGAATTTTATAAAACTAAGCTTAGTTTATCAGAAGGGCTTGTCCTCTAAAACTAAAATCCCCAAGGGCCAAATCTCTAAACTTGGGGAAAAACAATCTCTAGAATGACTTTTTTTGATAGTTGCTTAACCAAAAACACTCAGAATTTGATTAAAGATCTTAGAACGTGACAATCTGACTATTTCCTACAAATGTGTCATTCTTAGAAAATAAATAGGAAACCCATTCAATGTGTCAGTATACGTTAGACATCCTGTGTCATTTTACATGATACTAACATTTCACTCCAAGCTTTATTTTCTTTCTGGAAAGCATTAATTTGTGTTCAACAGAGGACTAAAACTCTATTATGCCATAAAATCTGGGCCATGTTTCACAAAGCGATCATAACCCTACGACTATCATATCTCCTATACTTTAACATAGAGTAACGACAGTCGTAGCGCTATGATCACTCTTTGAAACAGGGCCCTGTATTATAGTCTTGGGTGACATTAAGCAGCACGGTCATAAAGAGTAGTCGATGAGTGACTGGTTTGGGCAGCTCGACTTCTGAAATTTTGGACTTTGGCCATGCCCTGCACGCAAACAATGGTTAAAAATTGATTCTCCTTACGTAAGTGACTTTGTTCACCCAAAACTGAATGGGTACCAGGCAGGATTAGATTGTAAACTGACAGACTGTGAACCTTCCAGTCTCTCATACAGTAACTTGGATTGTATACTTCTCAGGGAGTTGAGAATGAAATCGGGAGTGCAGAAAGATCTCAAGACCAGGGTAACTACAGTGTAGTGTCATGAGTATTCACTTTGGGAATGGAACCCAACACATTATCAACAGAATTAGTAATTAGTAATTCTTATTATTACCTACTGTTTACCTGATTGTCATGTAATGATTACACTTCCTGTGATTTGGTGCCTAATGTGTCAGACAGGTATTGTAACCTATACTTCAATCAAGTGTGGTCCATTTCTTACACACAGGTCAAAACATGAGTGAGTGAGTATGGTTTTACGCCGCTTTTAGCAACATTCCAGCAATATCACGGCGGGAGACACCAGAAATGGGCTTCGCATATTGTGCCCATGTGGGGAATCAAACCCGGGTCTTCGGCGTAACGTTCGAACGCTTTAACCACTAGGCTACCCCACCGCCCCCGGTCGAAACATAAAGCAATCTTGGAACACAGCTTCACAGATGTCAATATGTTCATCATTTCCCAACATGCTTGATGAAAATCCCTTTCATATATTTCTTAATTTGCTTAACAACATGATCAAGGAACTGCCACATTCATCACAAAGGTTTGGGTGATATTCTACATACATACTTTTAAGCCTTGGGATTTCATATTTTGACAACAATTAATCAACGTAAACAGTTTCCCCATTGACAACAACCAGTAGCACCTAGTCTTGCGGATGTATGAAAACATGATCGGGTACAATCTGATACACAGGATCACTTCATTGCAAACAGAACAAATGTATGATTTAAGGTCAGAAACGTCCAGTCCTGTAAACTTAAAACAAGCTAAAGAAAAATTTGTATCAAGAAAGCATCAAAAAGATGAGGCTGGTGACATAAAATTATGTCTGTGTGTCATAACAATCATGCACACACAGTTGAAATTCATTAATTCATTTTGTCATTGTGTAATCAAATCAACAGGTTCTTACTTAACAAACGTGGAAACAGTAACATCCTATTCGTGAATGTTCAACATTCATCCATATCAAGCCAAGAGCACCAGTGCACAAAAAAGTCATTTTTTAAAAAACTTTTCATACAGGTGGGAAAATTCAGATTTTTAAATCACATAGAATTACATAATAGTACTGATCTTTGACCTTCATTGTTATATGTAACATTTGTTTGTATAAAATATCTCACAAATCAACAGGCAGTTTTCAGCCAAATAGTATTCTCCTTAATCTTGACGATGCTGTTTCAGCTACTCTGCTTTATAACAACACAAACGATGAATAAATAACTAAACACCTACATTAACTTGAAACAGACAACACATAGCAGCACCTACAAATGCAACAGACTAGATTTGGCTTGTTATATTTTCTTTAAACAACCGAAGTAACAATAATATAATCTACTCTCTCTGGGCTGATAATACTCTGTGTTCGTAGGTACACACATCATCTGGTAATGATACAAGAGTATTTTGACATAAAGCTATCGGCAGACCAATCTGATTACTTGTTTTAACAACCTCCTGTCTTTTTGGAACCTATTCTGGGGCATAGCTCTCTTAAAAATAAAGTTTTGCAACATATCGTGAAAAACCTTACATGAAAAAATTGGCTTGCTATGCCAGGGTTAAACAATTGTGCCTGGACTGTGACAGGTACCCCTTATTCTCAAACTTAATACACTACATTAGCATTTTGACTGTAATTGGTAAGAAACAAGAGTTATTTTCTTGTCAGAAAAAGCAGCGACAACTGTATCTCTGTGAGTGAAAGTTTTGTGACACTATTTTTACATGATCAAAAGATTTCTCCTTCGAGTATTTCCGCCCCCAAACCGTAAAAAGTCTTTCCACACACCACACACACCACACCCCCACCATAAATCAAGCAATTAAATTGGTCAAGCCTTCACCAAGATCACTTACTCTTCAAATCAATCTTCAACATTTAATGTTATCAAGGGAATTATTTGGAATCACCTGTTTGATTGGAAACACAAACATCTCATGAGTTTTAAAACAATGCTATCACAGGATTCTAACAGACATTGACTGGGATCCTAGACAGGATCCCACTATTCACGTTCTGTCTTCTAACATTCCTAGCCATGATTCTACCTAATGATGAATAACATCAGCCTGAGTCCGACCGTAGGAACCAAACCAAAGGCAGCAGGCAGGAGTCTAAATCTTCAACGGAATGACATCCATTCCACTCTAACAATCCAGTGAGGCCTACTGATTCACCGACCTCCATTAAATGGTTGTTTTGTGAGTCAGTAATTCAGGATTGTTTCATACCATGACTATTGATGGAAGACAAACTGGTGTATACTACTCAAAATATGTTAAGGAACACTCAATCATTCTATATGGCAAAAGTTATCTGTAATACGGTTTTCCTTAACTTTTATGAGCTGTATACATGTACATAGTTATTACTTGCTGGCAAGAAACCGTGAACCAGAATCAGAAAACGCTGAGATTTGAACCCACATTTCTGATTTTGTTAATTTGATTGATTGATTTATTGACTGATGTTTAGCGCCGCACTCAGCAATATTCCAGCTATATGGTGGCAGTCTGTAAATAATCTGGGCCAGCCAATCCAGTGATCAACAGCATCAATCTACGCAATTGGGATACCATGTCATGTGTCAACCAAGCCAGCGAGCCTGACCACCCAATCCCATTAGTCGCGTCTTGCGACAAGCATGGGTTGCTGAAGACCAATTCTAACCCGGATCTTCACGGGTAGATTTTGTTCGGCCAAGAGAACTGACAGACCTTAAAAAATTTCAGACCAACTCTTTTCATCTTCTGAGGATGCCCAAACCAGGCATTATTATTGTGACCAAACATTCTTGATAAAAAGGAAACAAAACCTTTAACAATACACACCAAAATAAAAATCCTGTTCTTAAATCATATAAATAAAATATTAAAAAGGAACCAAGCACCTGTCTTCATTTTCAAACTGAAACTAATCTATACCTGCCAAACATAAACAACATTTCTGTGATAACCTTATTGCAGGGTCTGTATGACAGACATACATTCCTCTTTTACGTCTTTATCCATACCTAGCTGCCTTTGCTTCAGATTGTTAGGTCGGCCTGTTTAAGTGATGTTCTGACGTTTGGCATGTTGATAATGTGTCATGTGACCTGAGTATTGTGGAATCGTTGACATGCTATGATATGGAACTCTGATTATTCGGATGATGTTACAAGTATAAGGTCTGTTTATCAATAATGGTTTTCATAATATCACCCCATAATATCGCAACCCACCAAACATAAACAAGTCTCTGGTTTTCAGTTCGGGACAGACAATTAGCTAGATATAATCAAATGCTATTAAGCATAATAAATCAGTTGTTATGCTTTCATATCGTTTTCAGTTAAAGACGAAAACATGAACCAGATAGCGAGTCATCAAATGCTTTTTCAGCTTTGTAAAACAATCGCTACACTTTCATATGAAATCAACACAAATGAAAATGGAACAAATCAGTTTCATATGTTTCATGTCACTCTGTGTCGTTCATGACTGAGTGACCTTGTTTTCATGCCATTTTGAACATTATATCAGTTTTATTGTCTTATGCCACTTTTATGTGACAAAGACAAAGAGCACACAGTGGTTGTGGTTGTAGATATTCACCATGTTGTTTAAAACCACAACTCAGGTCTGGTGCTGGCAAAGATCATGACAGAAGCAAAGCAGGATCATCAGGATCCTGGCTCTGCAAAGGGACAGAACTCTGCATGGCAAATCCTAGTACCTGAGACCACAAGGCAAAAGTGTCAGTGTGGCTCCTTGAGAAAGAGGCAGTAGCTTGTCTCGTTCAACACACTCTTTGATCTGGGAGCTTCTTAATATGCTTGGAACTGCATTAATAAACATATTTTGCTTCACACAATGCTGTGTGTTACAGGTGAACAATATCGCTACAGATCTCCCGCATTTAATATTGTCCCTATCTTATTTTTAAGAAAAACATATTGGAATCTCATTATTCCCTGAAATAAAAAAAAAATGGAGACAAAAAGAAATTGGCACACAATTCACATGCAGGATGCGTAGAACAAGAAACGCAACCCTGATGGCACAAAAAAACAGACGTTGGATTGCACCTCTTTGTCGGACTCTGATGTGATTATGACGTCTTCCAATACTGAATGTAAATGCACAATGAGCTTCTCCCATCACTTGGCAAATGTCTCGTAAAATGCTATTTTCACCCTTTCGATATGATGACACAGTTTGATGGCCGGCCCCAGCTTGAGATCCAGGTGTTCCTGTACTGTGGGTAGAGTCAGTAGGAGGAGGGCCTGCCCGTCGATCTCCTGGGGTGTAGAAGGGGGGAGTAGAGATGAGTGAGTCATAGGAGAGTTGGATTTCTAATTCAAGAGTGCAGTTTTCAGATTAACATCACTTTCAACAGTACTTTAATTTAACCATGGCTTGTCAGTTCTATTTGGAAGGAAAGAGTTTGCACAACTGTGAGTAACCCACTTCATACTGTTATATGTATCACTGATGTTGTGACTTGTAGATGGGACTTGTTTCACTTACACTTAGTGAACAAGTGAGTGAACCTGTGAGTGAGTGAACCTGTGAGTGAACCAGTGAGTGAGTGAACCTGTGAGTGAGTGAATCTGTGAGTGAACCAGTGAGTGAATCTGTGAGTGAACAAGTGAGTGAACCAGTGAGTGAACCAGTGAGTAAACAAGTGAGTGAACCAGTGAGTGAACCAGTGAGTGAACCTGTGAGTGAACCAGTGAGTGAACCTGTGAGTTAACCTGTGAGTGAACCTGTGAGTGAACCTGTGAGTGAACCAGTGTGTGAACCAGTGAGTGAACAAGTGAGTGAACCAGTGAGTGAACCAGTGAGTGAACCTGTGAGTGAACCTGTGAGTGAACCAGTGAGTGAACCTGTGAGTGAACCTGTGAGTGAACCTGTGAGTGAACCAGTGAGTGAACCAGTGAGTGAACCAGTGAGTGAACCAGTGAGTGAACCAGTGAGTGAACCAGTGAGTGAACCAGTGAGTGAACCAGTGAGTGAACCTGTGAGTGAACCAGTGAGTGAACCTGTGAGTGAACCAGTGAGTGAACCTGTGAGTTAGCCTGTGAGTTTGTGAACCTGTGAGTGTGTGAACCTGTGAGTGTACCTGTGAGTGTACCTGTGAGTGAACCAGTGAGTGTGTGAACCTGTGAGTGTACCTGTGAGTGTGTGAACCTGTGAGTGTACCTGTGAGTGTGTGAACCTGTGAGTGAACCAGTGAGTGAACCTGTGAGTGAACCTGTGAGCGAACCTGTGAGCGAACCAATGAGTGAACCCGTGAGTGAACCAGTAAGAGAACCAGTGAGCGAACCAGTGAGGGAACCAGTGAGTGAACCTGTGAGTGAACCTGTGAGTGAGTGAATCTGTGAGTGAACCTGTGAGTGAACCTGTGAGTGAACCAGTGAGTGAACCAGTGAGTGAACCTGTGAGTGAACCAGTGAGTGAACCAGTGAGTGAACCAGTGAGTGAACCAGTGAGTGAACCTGTGAGTGAACCAGTGAGTGAACCTGTGAGTGAACCTGTGAGTGAACCAGTGAGTGAACCTGTGAGTGAACCTGTGAGTGAACCAGTGAGTGAACCTGTGAGTGAACCTGTGAGTGAACCTGTGAGTTTGTGAACCTGTGAGTGTACCTGTGAGTGTGTGAACCTGTGAGTGAACCTGTGAGTGTAACCTGTGAGTGAACCAGTGAGTGTGTGAACCTGTGAGTGTGACCTGTGAGTGTGTGAGGAACTCAGTGGAGAACCTGTGAGTGTACCTGTGAGAACCTGTGTGAACCTGTGACCTGTGAGTGAACCAGTGAGTGAACCAGTGAGTGAACCTGTGAGTGAACCTGTGAGCTAACCAATGAGTGAACCTGTGAGGAGTGAACCAGTGAGTGAACCAGTGAGTGAACCAGTAAGAGAACCAGTGAGCGAACCAGTGAGGGAACCAGTGAGTGAACCCGTGAGTGAACCTGTGAGTGAGTGAATCTGTGAGTGAACCAGTGAGTGAACCTGTGAGTGAACCAGTGAGTGAACCAGCGAGTGAACCAGCGAGTGAACCTGCGAGTGAACCTGTGAGTGTACCTGTGAGTGAACCAGTGAGTGTGTGAACCTGTGAGTGTACCTGTGAGTGTGTGAACCAGTGAGTGTACCTGTGAGTGAGTGAGAATGCAATGTTAAAATTTACAATTAACTTTTAAATACCTCGTAAATGAAGGAAAATATGAGTGTGAGTGAGTGAGTTTGGTTTTACGCCACTTTTAGCAATATTCCAGCAATATCACGGCGGGGGGACACCAGAAATGGGCTTAACACATTGTACCCATGTGGGGAATCGAACCCGGGTCTTTGGTGTGACAAGCGAACGCTTTAACCATTAGGCTACCCCACAGCTCCCGAAAATACTCATTATTACAGAGACCTGCAGATATCCTAATCTGGACCGGATAAACTAGTGACTAACATTATGAGTGAGTGAGTGAGTGGAATTGAGCAACAAACTTTCCAAAAACAAAGTGTCTACAGTCAACTCACCTGTTCTTTAAAGAGCCTGGCAAGGTGAGCGCAGTCTGTTGTTTTGATAAATTCTACCACGTCGCTCAACGACCACTTCAAGGGGTTCTTCTCCAATTTGAGTATTTCCTCTTTCTTCACAGATGAATCTTGATGTTTCTAAAATGAACACAAAACAAATAACAGCAACTGTTTCTAAAACCGAAATACTTCCCCCCATTGTAGTTACACATTTTTCCGTATTTGATGCCACAGTCTGCAACATTACAGTTATATGGTGGTGGTATGTAAATAATCTGGTTCAGACAATCCAGTAACTAATAACATGAACATCAATCTACACAACCAAGTCAGGGAGCCTGACCACCCGATCCCATTAGTCGCCTTGTATGACAAGCATGGGTTGCATGGACCAATTCTAACTCATATCTTCATGCTTATCCCGATTTTTGCAAGCACATCAATAATAATAATAATAAAAATGGACCCGACAAACAACGTCGTCAACTTCAAGGTACGAGGACACACAATGAACCAAATACAGAGATGCCAACCCCAAATTGGTGCAATTAGGAATCTGAGCTCCCTAACATTGAAAAAATTAGGAATTTTCCCAAGAAATTAGGGATCCCTATAAATTGTTGCACTCAAGGAACGAAACTTTCAATACACATAGCGATCCTTATACAACTGAAACCGGTTTGCTGTACTCGGCAGATGTGTTCGTGAATGTTAAGTGAATAAAATAAACAGTGCGTGGAATTTATCAGGCAGCCAACTCAACTTCCGGATTACGTTCTTGTGTAAACAATTTGAGAACTTCTGTAAATAAAGTGTTATATTTATTTAATTCTCATTATTTATAGTCAAAGATGATACTTGCCCTCCAGTAAGTAAGACTATCTATATCTTCGTTATATTTCGAAAAAAATCGGAATGAATTTGGCTTTGTCTGAATGGCGGAATCGACATGCATTTTTCAGGATGATTCCGGTAAATTCAGGAGGGTTGGCATCCCTGCAAATATGACCATCTGATCCACTGAGTCGCCTCTCACAATAAGCATGCTAAAAGACTATTGCACTGGTGTCATAAAAACATCATTAACTTTTGACAAGAGTAATCTATTTAGGAAAATATCCTTTTCACCTGTGTTACTTCAAAACTAAACTTACTTCAACACATTGTACATATCATTTTTCAGAAAAATGAGTGCACAACACATTGGATCAAATATCAGGTTTCATTCCTCCAGCTCAAGGTGAGAGTGAGTGAGGTTAGTTTTATGCTGCTTTTAGCAATATGCCTGTAATATCCCTGCGACAGACACCAGACATGGGCTTCACACATTGTACCCATGTAGGGAATCAAACCCAGATCTTCAGCGTGATGAGCAAATGCTTCAACCACTAGACTACCCCACCGCCCGGGCTGCAATTGGTCACCAGGGAGCTATGATGGTCATTAGCGACGATGAAATCTACCATGTGACCATTGCTACTTCACAAATAATTCAAAAATCCACTAACCCGTGACATTGAGCTGCCATGTTTTGAGTTCATCCCAAGTCCAAGTGCACTTTGAGACTTGGTCACAATTGAGCTGTTGCCATGGTGATGAGAGGAACCATGATGGGATGTGAGCATGATTTTTTTTGTGAGTTCTTCGTTCGAAGCTATATTTGGGCAGTTTGGCTCCCCGTGTACGAATGTCCGATGGAGGGGGCACATGGTGCGTATACTTTCGTTTAATCCTCAAGCCTTGGCTTTGTTTCAAATCAGAGTCTTTTTCTTTGGAACCATTAGTGCTGGTGCTATCTACAGTCCGTGTGTCACTGTTAACACTGTCTTTGTCATCATCAATGCCATCGTCGATCTCATCCTGCGACGTCCGCACTTTCTTTGTTACAAAGTTTATCTTTTTCCTTTTCCGTCTTTTCCCAGGTTTCTTGGGTCCGTCCTCCAAGTTCGTGTGACCACCTGGGGGGGCGACCAACCTTCTTCTTCTTCTTACCATAGTAATAAGCTGCAAGACCATATACATTTTACATATAGAAAGATCGGATATTGTAAGGTCACATATAGACCAGTTGAATACTGGTGGTCGTAATTAAGTTGAAAAATAAACCTAATTAAGTGTCAAATTGTAAAAATAATTGGTATGATGTGAAAAAGACGTAGAGAGGTAATTCAACAATAATTATGTTAAAAGCACTTAATGAAAGGATTAAATGGGTTTCACACATTGTACTCATGATAGGAATAGAACCCGGGTCTTCAGCGTGGCGAGCGAACACTTTAACCACTAGGCTACCCCACTGCCCCTATGGCATAAAAGAACTGAAGGTGTCAATAGGCCACTGACGATATTTCTTACTGTATTTGGTTTTGGTGAGCTGTGAGCAGATTTCTGGACATTCTGTGGTGAAGAGGTGAGGGCTGATGAGGTTGGGGCAGCACTCCAGTTTGATGCAGATCTGCCGACAGAACTCCTCCAACTGGGATGTGCTCTTGCAGATCTCCACCGTCGCCCGGTAGCTCTTCCCCTTGTACCTGCACATTGTGTACATATACAGAAACCAGGGGAGGTAACCAGCAGGTACAACCCACCCAAAATGAAATAGGTAACATTTATTTTGATATTTACTGAGTGAGTTTAGTTTTACACCAATTTTCCTGCAACATCACAGCCGGGGACACAAGAAATGAGCTATTTTGATATTGAACACAAATACGCAGCTGATCTGAATCAAAATGTAAAGTAATGTGATCAAACGTTGTTCCTTAAACTTCTTGCCTATTATCCTTTCCATGCTTTAAGTTAAATGAGTCAAAATACAGAGTTAAACCACAACAAATGATATCCTTATTTTGACCCGACAAAGAGGAACAATTTTTATGGACACACAACCTCTTTATTGCAATAGATGCAATATTGTAGTAAATGTAATTTTCTGACTCAAATTGATATTTTATACTTATCCTGACTCATGCTAATTATGCTTGTCTCCTTCCTCTTGCGAATGATTGTGGAACACTTGAAATCCCTTGAAGTTCCCTTTAAAAAAGCGGACGTAAAACCACTCACCCAGAGTAGCGTCCCTTTCCTCCCTTTGGCACCGTTTTGGTCACCTGACTGACCATGCCTTGTCACTCTCTCCGTATGAATGCCCGACACCCGGATTTACAGGGAAATCCAGAGTGCAATGGGAGGGGAAGTTGGGAGGGCTAACCTCATGAGTCAGGATAAGTTTAAAAATAACAATTTTAGTCAGGAAATTACATATTTTTCCATATCCTGACTCATGCTAATTATGCTTGCAGAATCCGTCGGAAACGGTGGTGGGTCAGGCCACATTCTGGATTCACTAGTTGTAGATTTACGTCCTGTATTACCCCCCTTGGGAACTTATGACGGCACTGTTGAAGATTCTGTTCTTTCAACTTCTCTCTGATGAGTCTGGGGGGAACCACAACCTGTCAGATTTCTTCCGAAACTTCTCCTGACATTTTCGTGTGGATTTAGATATACTAATATTCCATTAGTTATCTATTGCAACTCCATCTCTTGATGCTCGCATCAAGTGGAGATGCGACCCTTCTTCATGTACGAGTACATATGTCCTATACAAGTACAGGGTCTATCACTCATGCTAGTCTGTCCTAGACGTGTGCATGGACTTATAGCCATTGCTCTTCAGAGCGTTGGTTTTCACAAGTCACGTGATAAAAGGGGTGAGATTTACTCAGCGCCTTTGTGGAACCGTTAGTTGTTCTGGTGAATGCCTGAGACGTCTTCGGTGGCAATGTCTCTGAGGTAGTGGTTGGCAAACACCGTGTTCGATCTCCAAAAGCATAATTAGCATGAGTCAGGATAAGGAAAAATAGAAGTTATCTATCCATAAAATTGTTCCACTTCATCATACCAGCTTCTAAATGCCACTCAAAGACGTCACATCACTGGCATTAAAATACAAGAAATTTAAACCCTTGGAGCTATTAAAATCAAAACAACTTAGACAGCTGTCAAAGTGAAAACAGGGAGTTTCATAAAAGATTAAAGAGACAGGACAGAGTTATTCACTGTACACAAAAAAATAAAAAACAGTCAAAAATCCTTCATGACAACTCACTTGGCCTTCAACACCTGCTGATGCATGTTGGGATTTGGCGACCCCTCCATCTGAATCTCCCGCAATACACGACATGACTTGTAGGCCACGTTGATGAGCATGGACAGGACCTCCTTCATCACCAGGTTGATGGGGCCGGGCCCCACACACTTGGGCAGCTCGGAGATACGACCCTTGCTGAGACGGGCCAGAGAAACACCGATGGTTGAAGTAGATCTTGGGACACCAGCCGCTGCCTACAGGACAAGATAGAACATCATGTATCAAGGTGAAATTCTGTCAGTTGTCAGTGTAAGTTAGATTTGTCATCAAACTTCAGTTTTCACTGTATCCCATTTTTGATGCGTATAGAGATTTATCTAGGCCTGTTCTGAATCTGATAAAACTGAATAAAACTCAAATCACAGTATATGTCCTAGTGTAAATGCAATAATCTTGAATGTAGCATTAAACCCACTTGACCCACTTCTGTGTCTTTTGTTTATTTTTTTTTTTTTAGAACTTTTTTATTTTGTCCATTTTCACATTGGTACATGGTCTCCAGTCATGCTTAAATACATATTGTAGATTTCAATTAGAAAAACATGATACAGAATACATTATACAGAAGTTAAAACATCATTCAGAATCCAGTATTTGAAAAAAATGATTGATTCTTGAACTCATCATAGCAGAATATTTTGTCAGTTCATAATATTTTTTAAGCTCCTGTTGTAAAAAACTGAAAGATTGGCATCTGTTTAGATATTTTACAGTTAAAGATGATACTTTTTAAAAGGATAAGAATCATGTTGATTGGATCATTATTTTTATGACCGAATCCGAGCAAACTTTTTCTTTCGTGAAATTTAAATTTACATTGATGACTTACCTCCAGACTCCCCCGTTTTTCACCTGGGAGTACGAGTCCCCCTTGTTCTCTTCATTCCACGGTCCCTCAGCAATTCTGAAAGTAGGTTAACACATCAAGGAGATTGGTCATAATACATCAAAGTTTGTGTTTGGCCACATCTAGTTTCAACAGCATTTCTTGATACTATATCTGGTGGATGTGGAAGAAAAACCTTAAGTGATTCAGTTAATAAATTTGTACCACTTTGGTGAAACCCACTGACACGATGCTGACAAACCTGGAAGATGGGAGAATCTGAGATTCAAACCCACTCTGACAGGTTCCTGCCACACCTAAGGGACATAACTCTGTACATAAAATTGTGCTGCCTTGAGAAACATTTATTAATATTGTATATTCATTCTCTTGCAACACTACAGAAAATATGCTTCGTACTTACTCTGGTTGTACGACCGCTACTCGTTTCGGTGTTGGTCGTTTCAAGCCAAGTTTCCGTGGGGTTTCAGCTGGTAGAGGATTTACATGGAATCCTGTATTTGAGGGTCCCTGGGACTCATACTTTTAATTTTCAGGGGTCCTGGACAACAAAATGGGGGTCCCAGACACTTAAATATTATTATTAATACTGTTATTGTATTGTGTATCATGATCATCACATTGTTACAGTAATTAAATTGCAAATAATACCATAACCCAGCTAGTAGCAAACTCGGTGATAACTTATTGTCACTTGATTGGAATTTTACAAAAGTATTTGGACTTTTTCTGAGTCCTTGTGGACGCTTTCTAATAAATTTTGTTAAGGCCCATTGTCAATTTTATGAGTATAGGATGCAGGAATTCACGTCCTGTAAATCCCTGTGTGAGTGAGTGAGTGAGGAGTGAGTGAGTGAGTGAGTGGTGGTGCGAGTGAGTGAGTGAGTGGAGTGAGCGAGTGTGATCTTATGTCGCAAGATCACCACATGGGACACAAGAAATGGGCTTTGCACATTGTACCCATGTGGAGAATTGAACACGAGGCTTCGGAGTGACAAGCAAACAATTTAAGCAGTAGGCTATCTTAGCCATTGCCCTCAGATGGGGTTGAAAATAATTTTGATTTCCACAGCTGCATTGTCTAACAACCAACCTGCAGGGTGAGTGAGACGAAGCCCTTTGCACTGGCACCAGTGGATGGGGAAGATGTTTGGGCTGTTGACATGGCAACTGAACTGTACACGTTTACTGGAGTGGCGCTCCAAGGAGTCTATTTCCACCAAGAAGTACCGATTGTTGAAGATCTGGACGATGGTAGCGGGACAGATCTGGTTGCGACTCAGCGGATTCAACGCCTCGATTTTCCAGCCTTTTTGGAATTTGTGGGTGGGGATTTCTGGCTGATCCTAATGAGACAAAAGAATTATAATGAACAATACTCTGATTTTCATATTTATTTCCTATTATTTACGTCCTCAAGTAGTGATAGAGTGATACTTATTATAGCTTTGTTTTAAACAAAAAGAATAATAATTCCATGAAAATAATTTCCATGAAAGTTGAGTTGTTGCTGACCTTGAATATGTCTGCAGGCAGGATCTGGTCCTGTGACATCTTTAGACCTTCTTCCAGAATGTCATTAATCTCTGCATCAGAGCATTTCATGAAAGACTTTTCTACTTCTGAAAGAAACGATCATTTTTCACATCAGCATAAAGTGGCAGTACACTGGGCAGGATGTCTCAGAAGAAATTAGAAAAGTAGTGACACATCATATCAAGTGTTTTTCAGATTTTCATCCATATATAATACTTATGTCAGACCATTTGATTACAAGTACTTTCAACCCTTACAATCCCTCTCTAACAATGGTGATCTTGACTTCTGCACTTTTTACATACTTCATATATTGCAATCTAATTGTCTGCAACATTTATCAACAATTATCTCGTTAAAGTGATAGTGTGCAATCATTATTAGACTAATCTTGTAATAGTACGCAACAATTACCAAAAGTTACTCTGCAACAATTATCTTACAATGTAACAAATAATCTGCATTAATTGTCTTACTTAGTAACAGTCTGCAACAACTATCAACAATTATGTTGCAAGGTAATAGTCTGAAACAATTATCAACAGGTTGTCTACAACAAACAGTTTGCAAAGTAACAGTCTGAATCAGTTATCAATGTCTTCAACAATAACATTGCACTTTAATGGACTAAAACAATTATCTTGCAATACAACAGTCTGCAACAATTATCTTGCAATGTAATCATTGTAATAATCCATAACAATTTTCTTGCAAGCAACAGTCTGCAACAATTATCTTGCAATGCATTCATAGTAATAATCCATAACAATTATCTTGCAAGCAACAGTCTGCAACAATTATCTTGCAATGAAATCATGGAAATGGTCCGCAATTATAATGCAATACAACAGTCTGCAACAATTATCTTGCAATGTAATCATGGAAATTGTCCACAACAATTATAATGCAATACAACAGTCTGCAACAATTATCTTGCAATGTAATCACGGAAATGGTCCACAATTATAATGCAATACAACAGTCTGCAACAATTATCTTGCAATGTAATCATGGAAATTGTCCACAACAATTATAATGCAATACAACAGTCTGCAACAATTATCTTGCAATGTAATCACGGAAATGGTCCACAATTATAATGCAATACAACAGTCTGCAACAATTATCTTGCAATGCATTCATAGTAATAATCCATAACAATTATAATGCAATACAACAGTCTGCAACAATTATCTTGCAATGTAATCACGGAAATGGTCCACAATTATAATGCAATACAACAGTCTGCAACAATTATCTTGCAATGCATTCATAGTAATAATCCATAACAATTATAATGCAATACAACAGTCTGCAACAATTATCTTGCAATGCATTCATAGTAATAATCCATAACAATTATAATGCAATACAACAGTCTGCAACAATTATCTTGCAATGCATTCATAGTAATAATCCATAACAATTATCTTGCAAGCAACAGTCTGCAACAATTATCTTGCAATGTAATCACGGAAATGGTCCACAATTATAATGCAATACAACAGTCTGCAACAATTATCTTGCAATGCATTCATAGTAATAATCCATAACAATTATCTTGCTAGCAACAGTCTGCAACAATTATCTTGCAATGTAATCATGGATATGGTCCACAACAATCATCAACAATTATCTTGCAATATTATCATGGAAATAATTCACAACAATGAAATTGCAATGCAACAGTCTGCAACCTTGCAAAGGATACATCAGATTACCAATAAGCATGTTTATCCAGCCTCATGTAAGAATGTCGAGTTTTGATTGGTTCACGTGACTCTGATAAAATACCATGTACACCCGTCACGATCCGCGAGCAGGGAGTACAAAAGTCGTATTATCCCGCCAGGCCTCAGTGACCACTTGCGAAGTGAGAAAGCATGCATCGTAAAGCCTTTAATAACATGCTGCATTGAGGGTCAATCGAACAGCTGGTGTCAACATGGCAGCAAGGAAAGCGATTTGCCACAACAACTGAGAATTTTCTTTTCTTTCTTTTCATGTAGTAAAAACATTAGGCTGATATAATGGCGTTATCACATCGTGTCGAGGGGAAATCACGGGGGTTTTATCAGTCCCTCGTGGGTTAATATACAACCTTATTAGGACTGATAAAACCCGATTTCCTTCGACACCCCATGTGATAACCCATAATGTACCAACTGGAAACAGTAACATAGACCCATCCCTCCCACCTCTAGGGGGCTTGTAGGTGTACTTCATCTCCTTGGCCCAGCCAATGGGATGCAGACTCTCATTCAGGTAGAACATCCAGAAGTCGTGTGTGCCCGACTCCACGCCTTCATAGCGCAGGTACAGTCTGCCTCAACGTTCTCGATGATCTGTAATGCGATCCATACGCGTTGGTGGGCTTGCAGACATCCTGGATCTCCAGCCTCATACATTGTTTGAGCTGATCTACTGGTGTTGTTCCCGTCATCTGAAGGAGACAAACACTTCTCGTCACAACCCATGAATATTTCTTTGGATTGGTAGGTTGTCTAAACAAGGATGACCTATACTAGGGGTGCAATGATACAGAAGGCTACGCTACTATAGGTATCTAGATACTTTGTCATGATATACAAGAGGTATCTTCATGTTCTAGAACAACTGACTGACTGAGTTTTGGTTTTACGCCGCTTTTAGCAATATTCCAGCAACATCAAGGCGGGGGACACCAGAAATGGGCTTCACACATTGTACCCAATGTTTGTTATTTAACACCGTACTCAGCAATATTCCAGCTATATGGCTGAAGACAGTAAATAATCGAGTCTGGACCAGACAATCCAGTGGTCAACAACATGAGCATCAATTTACGCATTTGGGATATGATGACCTGTGTCAACCAAGTCAGCGAGCCTGACTACCCAATCCCTTTAGTCACCTCTTTTTACAAGCATGGGTTACTGAAGATCAATCCAAACCAGGATCTCCATGGATTCCATCATTGGTAACAGCAACAAAGCCTTTTTATTCCCAAGGTCAATAAACAGCACACACCTTGTACACAGTGATCTTCTATCAAGTAAGCAAGAAATATGCATTTTGTTTCATGCATTGCAATACAGGCCCTTTGTATCATAGTTTGAGCACTGCTTCACCCTTAAACTATAATAAAGCCACAAGGACATCAATCACGTATTATACATATGTATGTTACAGCTCTTAAATTGCCTTCACACTGCCTATTTTAAGTCACCTACTCATTGGAAAATGCCTGAGTGCGGGTGCTAGTTTTCCAACTTTCATGGCCATTCCCACGATACCCACAATAAACCATGAGTTTCCCAAATGTACCACTGCTCTGTACCTTATCCAGCAGGTAGGAAGGGGCTGTCCTAGCCCCTGTTAGAGAGGCTACTACAAACTCCTTCCAGTCACTGAACTTGTCCTTAATGGCTGAAAAGGAAATTGACCAAAATAATTTTATTGCACTCAGGAACATTCCAGCTATATGGCAGCTGTCTGTAAATGGAGCTTGAAAGGCTGTCAAACCAAACAATCCAATGATCAAGAGGATGAGCATCAATGTACACAATTGGGATACAAAGAAGTGTCAACGAAGTCAGCGAGCCTGACCACCCCATCCTGTTAGTCGCCTCTTACGACAAGCATGGGTCGCTGAAGTCTAATTCTAACCCAGATCTTCATGTGCTAGTTTAATTTGGAACAATATTACCTCGAAAATATGTGAACAGTGGTGAGTGAGTGGAAGAGTATTGCTTAGCGCCGCATCAACAACTTTACAGCTATTACGCGGTGAATGTGAACAGAATATTTATCTTTTTCTGCCCTTTGCATAGGACATCAGACTGACTGACTGAGTTTTGGTTTTCGCGCTTTTAGCAATATTCCAGCAACATCAAAGGCGGGGGACACCAGAAATGGGCTTCACACATTGTACCCAATGTTTGTTATTTAACACCGTACTCAGCAATATTCCAGCTATATGGCTGAAGACAGTAAATAATCGAGTCTGGACCAGACAATCCAGTGGTCAACAACATGAGCATCAATTTACGCATTTGGGATATGATGACCTGTGTCAACCAAGTCAGCGAGCCTGACTACCCAATCCCTTTAGTCACCTCTTTTTACAAGCATGGGTTACTGAAGATCAATCCAAACCAGGATCTCCATGGATTCCATCATTGGTAACAGCAACAAAGCCTTTTTATTCCCAAGGTCAATAAACAGCACACACCTTGTACACAGTGATCTTCTATCAAGTAAGCAAGAAATATGCATTTTGTTTCATGCATTGCAATACAGGCCCTTTGTATCATAGTTTCGGAGCACTGCTTCACCCTTAAACTATAATAAACCACAAGGACATCATACGTACATACATATGTATGTTACAGCTGCGAAATTGCCTTCACACTGCCTATTTTAAGTCACCTACTCATTGGAAAATGCCTGATGCAGGTGCTAGTTTTCAACTTTCATGACATTCCCACGATACCCACAATAAACCATGAGTTTCCCAAATGTACCACTGCTCTGTACCTTATCCAGCAGGTAGGAAGGGGCTGTCCTAGCCCCTGTTAGAGAGGCTACTACAAACTCCTTCCAGTCACTGAACTTGTCCTTAATGGCTGAAAAGGAAATTGACCAAAATAATTTTATTGCACTCAGGAACATTCCAGCTATATGGCAGCTGTCTGTAAATGGAGCTTGAAAGGCTGTCAAACCAAACAATCCAATGATCAAGAGGATGAGCATCAATGTACACAATTGGGATACAAAGAAGTGTCAACGAAGTCAGCGAGCCTGACCACCCCATCCTGTTAGTCGCCTCTTACGACAAGCATGGGTCGCTGAAGTCTAATTCTAACCCAGATCTTCATGTGCTAGTTTAATTTGGAACAATATTACCTCGAAAATATGTGAACAGTGAGTGAGTGAGTGAGTATTGCTTAACGCCGCATCAGCAACTTTACAGCTATTCGCAGTGAATGTGAACAGAATATTTATCTTTTTCTGCCCCTTTGCATAGGACATCAGACTGACTGACAGAGTTTGGTTTTACGCCGCTTTTAGCAATATTCCAGCAACATCACGGCGGGGGACACCAGAAATGGGCTTCACACATTGTACCCATGTGGGGATTCGAACCCGGGCCTTCGGCGTGACGAGCCAACGCTTTAACCATTAGGCTACCCCACCGCCCCATAGGACATCAGACATGCGATAGATTCATTATTATTGTTGTTTTAAGTATTATTGATATGTACATATAAAACTAATCAACATACCGTCAGGAGGCTGAAGAGTGCAGCCATTACTTGAACACCATCCCACTGGATGGATCTCTGAGGTCATAAGGTCAGCCCAGAAGTCAGCAGACCCATCCTCTTCATAACCATCATACCGTAACCGTAGCAACTGACCACATGACATTATGACAGATGCCACCCAGTATGTGTTAGGTGACGACTTGTTTGGGACTTCCAACTTCATGCCCTTGACAAAACCACTCTGTAGACTGCACTCCACCTAAAAGCAGACGTGAAGTATTGAGACGTCTGCTGACATGGAAGGACGTAACCATGGTAACAATTCACTGAATGTTAGGTCCATAGTGTCTGTATGTGCATTTGTGCGTGCTGTGTATCACTACACTCAGCAACATTCCAGCTTTATAACAATCTGAAAATAATCCGGGATCTGGAATCAATTAAGTTACCTCTAAACACCTGGGATCCGTTCCACAAAGCCATCTTAGTGCTAAGGTAATCGTAACCACAATACATTTACACAGACTTACTAAGATCACTTTGTGGAACAGGGCGCTAACGTGAGTGAGTGAGTTATTGTTAAAGTATGTGCGTAACCAGTGTTTAATTTGCCAGCTGGCCATCGGGGCCTGCAGGCTTTATAATCTACAGGCCCTGAATGAAATCTGCAGGCCCAGTTTGTTAAGTTAAACCAATAAAACAAAATAGACAACACTGTACACAGTTTCACACTGTTTCTATGGCGCTGAGAGAAGTTTTTATTTTTTAAAAGACTGGTGTTGACATTCCTACGCGCAAAGCGCTGAAATACCAGAAGGTGAAACTGTAAGTATCGTAACATGATGGATCATGGATGATTTCCGAACGTTAATAAAGAAACACAATACGGGACAGATTCCAGCTGAAAACAAACAAAACAACATTGACGATTATTTACTGAAGGCCACAAGGGCCTGTAAATATTTGAAATTGCCGGCCTGATACAATAACAACCGGCGCTGGGCCTCTGGGCCAGCGATTATTTCGAATGCTGGATGTAACGATCACCTTAGAGCAACGGTCACTTTGTGGAACGGGAACAGCACATTGTTTGGGACCAATTCTAAGTCATTGTTCTGGGTGCTGTTGTACAAAGCACCCTTAGCACAAAGGTGATCGTAATTTGCATACCTTAACATAGACTTACGATAGCCTTAACACTAAGTTTGTTTTGTACAACGGCACCCAGGTTACTACACTAGCAGAGTCTCTAATGATTCCACTATTACACACCCTGTCCTCACATGAGACACTCTGTCCCCACCCTAGTGATTGTACTTACATGGGTGAAGGCTGTGGGGGGTACACTGGTGGAGCCGGTCTCAAGTAGATACTCCTCCCAGTTGAACTCGGACTGGTCATATTCAACAGGAATACCATCTACAATATCAAACCATCAAGTCTCAAAACATCCCAAGATGTCAGTAATGAAGTACAAGTCTTCTGTGTACATGACAGTTTTCACATAATAACCCAAATAAATTATAAACAAGACCAAAAAGGCCCAATTATTCATTCAATACGTTCAACCCTATTCAAAACTGACTATAGTTTGTTTGCAGTGAAAACGCACTGATGAAATTCACTTGAAACAAAAAAGTAAATCAAATAAAGTGAAATAAGATTGCGAATCCACACAATGTCACCTTGCCAATTGAACATTTAAATCTCAGAATTGTATTCAATTTAGGATAAAAAGTTGTTTAATAAACGATCAGAGTTTCAAATCGCTAACATTGGTTTGTATTACAAGAGGTATGCACATTAAATGAAACACCGAGAACAACTAAGTTAACGCTCAACACGTACGGCACGTGCATTTGTTTCACTTTTCCAACTACTGCGCTTACCCCCTTGAAATACAAACCAATAATAGCGATTTCAAACTATGATCGTTTGTTAAGTAGGACAACTATTTATCATTCATTTCCTGACAATTTCAAATTTACTGCTGACAGTTACTCTCCTAAATTAATGCTTCTAGAAACACAGTGAGTGAGTGAGTTTAGTTTTACGCCGCACTCAGCAATATTCCAGCTATATGGCGGCAGTCTGTAAATAATCGAGTCTGGACCAGACAATCCAGTGATCAACAGCATGACCATTGATCTGCACAATTGGGAACCGATGACATGTGTCAACCAAACCAGCAAGCCTGACTACCCTATCCCCTTAGTCACCTGTTATGACAAGCATGGGTTACTGAAGGTACATTCTAACCCGCACCTTCACAGGTTAGAGACACAAAGAACTCCATTTAAATTGAAAAGGAGCCAAATTGAGGTAGGGTACTTCCTAGCATTACACAGATGACTGGGTTGGAGGGGACATGCTATGGTTCAGAGACTGCAAAACAGACTAACTCTTCCCGAAGACTTAATGACATGTAGATGTCAACAAAAAGTCTAAATATCTTATTTAAGGATGCTTAGCAGTCAAAGAAAAAATCTAACAACATAACCAACCTTCATTGTAATCAGCGGTATCAATCATACTGAACCGAGATTTGTCATCAAGGTCATCCAAAGATTCAACTTTCGGATCCACAAGTTCTGTATTGTCCTCCAAAGCTGGGTAGGGAGACTCTGCCTTTACCTCCTCCATGGGTTTCTGTTCTGGGACAGAGACCTCTTCCTCATCTTCCTTCACACTGCCAGCATCAGGGATGGGTTCCTCTGTCACTGAATTGGACTCTTCCTCCACCTTTTCTGAATCAGACTGAACTGGACTTGGTTTGGGGCTAGGAACATCTTCTACCGGCGCTGGAGAGTCTTCAGTATTTGATTTTACGTCCTCTTTTGCTGAATTGGAGTTTTCACTATCTGGCATTTCAATGTCGTTCTGAATGCCGCCATCATCCATGGTGGTAATGTTCAAGATGGATTCCACGTCTGCCAGGTCGCCCATTTCCTGTTTGGGTGTTTCGTTACTAAAATTGCCTTCTGATTCATTCCCTGACTCGGCTATGTTTTCAAATATCAGTTCTTTTGGGAGCAATGCTGGCGCTGTGATGGAATTCAGGGAAAATGTGTTGGGTGAGGCAGCAAGTGGGGTTACACTGCCGTTTTGTGGTGCTCCCATGAATGGGTTTGCCATGACTGGTTGTTGCTGGGCACTCATTATGATTGGTTGAAGTTGGCTGAAGGCTCCAGACAGGAACTGACCTTGACCTCCATTAGGAACAGCCAAAATCGTCTGGCTGATGGGAATCCCAAGACTTTGTGCGACGGTCGTGCAAATTTGTCCCACAGATATAGGTTGGACAAACGGATGTCCGACAGCACCAGTATTCACGTTCATCGGAAAACCCAAGGTGACATTTAGCGGCGAGTGGGTCCCGGGTGGAGCCTGCTGATTGGAGGAGAAGGCTGATGACAAGGACGTCTGGGGGAAGCAGAAGCTCTGCGGTATGGTGACAGCCCCGAGGGACTGGGCGCTCAACAGGCCCTCAGGTGTAATGGGGCTTGTGATGGCCGCCATTGATGTGGCTAACTTCATCCCTTCAACAGCATCTGCTCCGGACACAGGCAAGTCTGGGAAAGAAATACAAGGAATCATTCCAAAGAAAACAAAGTCATAAATTAAAAAGTACAAATCACAGCTATTAAGTTTCAGTTCATGAAATCATTCTGTGCTGTTAACCTCTTTGCAGATGAAGGGTTTCACAAATATGGGGGGTTCTGGGGACCCATAATTAACAGTTTAAGGGTCCTTGCAGGCAATACAAGGGTTCTCTGGAGTAACGGTGTAGAGAACTGTATGTTTTGATCATTACTTTAGAGCCTGGAATGAATCATTGATCATGTGGACTGATGGGTGAAATGATGCAAGTAACTGTTCTGAAAGAAACAACCAAACACTTAGTAAAGTCATAGATGAGGTGAAATTCGGTTTTACGTCATGCTTGAGAATATTTCGCTCATATGACGACGTGCATGCGTGTGTGTGTGTAGGTGCGGCTGCTTGTACTAGCCCAGACTGAAACTGGTTTTATAGTGCTAGCCCACTGAGATACCATGCCGCAGTGAAGCATGAATACCCCACTCAGATACATTATACTGACTCCGAGCCAACCAGTCCTTGTTGTACCCATTAATGTCGACGCCAGGCAGGGACCAACAAGTGCCATATCTTAACATCTTTTGGTATGACGTGGTCGGGGATCGAGCCCGAGACCTTCCGCTCTCCGGGCGGACGCTCTAACCACTACACCACGGAGGCGGTCAGCAAAGTCATAGACATGTTGTGGGTACAGTGAATAATACCAAGGTTGATTTGGTTTGAAGTTTCGCCTGTACCACATAGCCACTGTAGCTCATTCTTATGTCAATGTGACAATTTGCAATCGTAGCTCTATGAGAACGCCTGCTGAAACATCACTAATAAGCAGTTAAACACACAACAGTTTGCCTGTTTGGGAGTGTCAATCCTTTATAATGATATACAAGCATCTAATGAAATTCCAAAACATGAATAATTACGAATCTTTACTTCTATCACACTGTAATATAGTTATCGTAATAGCTGTCTAAAGCCTATGAGCTGCATTTAAGTGGTTTTACGCTGCTTTTAGCAACATTCCAGCAATATCACAGAGGGGGACTCTAGAAATGGGCTTCACACAACGTACCCATGTGGGGAATCAAACCCGGTGTCGCAGGCCATTTCTTCCCCGGTCTAAACTTTCCCCGAGGAGAATCTGGCCTAGGCCAAACTTTCCCCGGGGAGGTTTTGTACTAGGATATTCTTACCCCGGGGAATATTTGGGCTAAGCTAAAGTTTCCCCCGCTAGGCCAAACTTTCCCCCCTGTTTAAACTAGGATATTTTGTTCTGTTTTTTTATGAAAAGTGGGGTGATTCTGGCCTAGCTAGGCTACTTCTTCCCCACCCTTGCTCTTATATCAAAAGGGGTGACTGTGGCCTAGCTAGGCTACTTCTTCCCCACCCTTGTTCTTACTGTAAATCATGAAATTAATGCGTCACAAATTTAATGCGAGTGCGAGGGTCTAGTCTAAAATGTGTCACGAAATTAATGCGAGCCCCTGGAACCTGTGTTGATGATATAATGTGACACTCTGAATCTTTGGTGTTGTTCTTTTTCTTTTCACACTTGTTATTTACCAAATAACCTGAATTAAGCTTGTTAAGCAATGAATGGAAATGAGCTGACGATGTTTTGATTACGCTGCAATGTTTGATCACGTCATTGCTTGCTACTACTTGTCTTATGACAACATGTATAAACGTAATCCAACTTCAAAGACACAAGTCATCTACCAAGGTACAACAAACAAGTGGCTGGAGAATGTCCAGTCTGGCTGATGTGCTTGAGTGACTTTAAACAAAGACCAGTGATTGTAACCAGTGATAATTACATGTGGCTTGAGATACCCGTAATGAGGAAGTGACCTGTATTGGTGTAATGTGTAGTGTCAACAGATTTACGTTTTCTGTCCTTTATTAATTCTCAAAAGTAGACAAGGTCAGTCTGAAATGTGTCATTATAATAATGCGAGAAGAATACAGACGCATTTTTCGCATTAATAAAATGCTCGCATTAATTTCATGATTTACAGTATATCAAAAGGGGTGATTCTGGCCTAGCTTGGCTACTTCTTCCCCACCCTTTCTCTTACAAACCGACAGCAGGTTTGACTTATATTTTGGTACACATTTTTGCTAAATAGTCCATTTTTGCCTCAGACCTCGGTGTAGTGATTTGAATGCATACATGTTTGAACAGCATATATCTCTAAATCCATCCTGCCGCCTTTCCTATGAAGACACATTGTGTTAGCTCTTCATCTGTCCACCATAAGATGTAAACATTCAATCGCACATTTGCGATATACACAGTTGCTTGCTCTCTTATCATGCTGTTTATTATCTAATATTTGTTGTATTTATGTATAAATGTAATGGAACATTATTCACATAAGCTTGTTTACTAATCCATAACCACTTTGGGTGAATGAAATATGTTTCAGATATCCATGGGCCAAGTATACCCCTTATCAAACCTTGTTTTGTGAATTTAGAATAAGTCACTATAGTGGAATGATAGATGATACAGCATTTGATATGGATATTGTGTTGGGTTGTTGTTGTGTTGATGTTTACATCTGCTTCAAACTGTTAAGTTGATGTCGCCGACGTGGATGCCATATTTAAGGTCATGAGTTAGAGAATAAAATTTTGAATGGATGTGGACATCCAAGTAAAAACTGGGTATTTAGTTAAAGTTTTGAATATAGTAATGATTTTGACATAGGCCAATTTTGAGTAAGTGGAGATAAGTAAATTATTGCAATATAAAAATAAGTAAATGATAATATAAAACAATAGTAATGATATAATATCTTTGCTTTTATGCTTGCTTTTCTTTTTAATCTCACCTTACAGAAGGGTATTGAAAGTTATGAAACAAAATGGGAACCATGTACATGTTATATATGAAGATGACCTGTAAATTGTTAATGGAACTTGACATCAACATAATATCTTATCAATGTGTTCACGTGAATAGCTATGTCTTGTTTGCGTTTCTGACTTTTTCAAGACGAATATAAACAAGAAAACAAGGTTGGGGAAGAAATAGCCTAGCTAGTCCAGAATCTCCCCCATTTGATATAAGAACAAGGATGGGAAACAAGTAGCCTTTAAAGTTGATTCAAGGGTGGGGAAAGTTTGGCCTAGGACAAACTTTCCCCGGGGAAGATTAAGCCTAGGGGGGTAAAGTTTGGCCTGGGCTAAAGTGTCCCCGGGAAAACTTTGTCCTTGGCCAAAGGTTCCCCGGGGAAGGTTTGGCCAGGGGGAAAGTTTGGCCTATTACACCGGGTCTTCGGCATGACGAGCGAACGCTTTAACCACTTGGCTACCCTACCGAACATGCACTTAAGTAATCCTAAATGGATCATGAAGTACAATAATTTCAGGATAAGGAAGTTACAGCTATTGCACTCAGCTACCTTAAAATGAGTCCCATCAATCCAACCATGGCAATCTTGCTGAGACAAACAAGAACCATCCAGAGATGACACATCCCCCAGCCTCAGGTGCCAGTCCGATAACGAGCCTGGCTACTTATACCAGATTTTCATTCACTGCCATTGGATACCTTCAGTTTAGTGAAGAAAACTACACTGCCATTCTGAATTTTTCAAGGTCACAAATCATCAAAAGACATGGACGACAAGTACATGTGACTTTTCCAACCTGTCATCATGAAAACAAAAACCAATATATATAGAAAAATATCCCTAATCATCAAAAGGCCATAAGACTGATCTGTACCTCCTAGTGTCATCAATAAAATATTCAATAGTTTAGGAGTTTTACTTAGGAAACAAGCACTATGCTGACTTTTCCAAACTGTCATCGTGAAAACAAAAAATATACATAAAAAAACAATGTTCAACAGATTACATGTTTTTGAAATAGACAGACTCATTTTCAAAGGAGGGAGATAAAAGACACACACCTCATCACATGATCATCATACAGATTCAAATAGTGATTTCTTTGTGCAGATCAGGGGATAATATTTCTATATCTCAGGCAGCAATTGTCTGTCTCAAAGTCCCTGAACTATATTATTTTCCCTAATGCCTAGCCCTCCTTGCAATGCTAAAGCCCTAAATGAAGCAAGTTTTGATTTCCTCAGGTTCTCTGGATTTCTTGTCTCCCTGGGGCTCCTTTTCAATTTAAATGGGTTTTACTTTTAGCAATATTCCAGCCACATCTTAGCGGGAACACCAGAAATGGGTTTCACACATTGTACCCATGTGGGGAATTGAACCTGGGTTCTCGGCGTGACTAGCGAACAATGTTCTATGAATCTCCTCCAAATTATTTCCACACACCCCCATTCTATTCTTCCACTGATAACTAATCAGACATCAGCAGTCCATTTTCTCAACACAGGTTCCGACTTCAGCCATATTGGATACTGTGTTCATGGTCGGGGAAAGAGTTCTCCTTCAAAACAAGCTATGTCACTTTACAGCACTTTTATAGAATAAATACAGATGAACTCAAAGTTTCACTCAAAGAATTATTTTCCATGTCATTGATTGGCAAAATAAACATGTTTCTGAATTTACGTGCAGATGAAGAAAAAACAGAGAGACAGACAGAAAGGCAGAGAAAGAGAGAAAGAGACAGGGAAAGAAAGAGGGAGTCACCCACCCCCCCCCCTTTCCCTTCCCCTATCCACTACAAGCCTGTAAGAAAAGGAATATTTGTAGTCAACATCTTCATTAATGAACATGCAGCCATTGAATATCTGGTAAAAGAAAATACAAAAAATGTCCCCTAACAAAAGAAAAGAATTCAGATTACGACTGCAGAATTCAATTTTCAATTTCAATCTTAAGAAATATTTCTTGCATTCTACTCACTGAGTTATTGATTTTAACTCTCAGCATGTCCGCATAAAATAAGAACGTTGTACAAGTGGTATGTACCTCCATAATATTCCTCAACACAATAATCATGACAAAATTCATTTCCAGAAGTATAGTACAATACAACA